CCAAATAGATCACATCTCCATCAGCCACCGATGGAGGGACTCGATAGAAGACTGTCGCTCATTCTGGAGCACATGCTTAAATTCAGATCATGCTCTAGTACGAGCGCGTATTTGCCTGCGTCTTACTGGACGTAGGAAAGACGCTGCAAGGAAACCTCTTAGGGGCCTACTTAATGATAGTCAAGCTAAGAATATATTTCAGGAACAAATAGAAAACCAGTTAGGCAGCCATGTATGTGATGCCCATCCCGAGGCAGCATGGAATGATATCCGAAAAGCTGTGGAAACAGCAGTGATATCTGCTAGTAAGGTAAACCAGAAGGTTAGGGAGCAACACTGGATCTCAGCAGCATCTATCGCACTGATAGATGCTCGAAAACTCATTCCACCTGGCTCTGAACATAATGAAGAGCGGAGTCAGCTTAAGCGCAAGCTGACAAGAAGTCTACGCAATGATCGTGAACAGTGGTGGGTAGCGAAAACAAGAGGTGGAAAAGGCAGCGGCAATAGTTAACAGCAGACAATTGTTCAGACTTGTTAAGGAAACCGTTATTAGGAACCCGAGTGTTAGCGAAACACTCAGAGAAAGATGGACATATTATACATTCTCAATCCAGGAGATTCGATCGATGGGCAGGACACTTTAGGGATCAGTTCAACTGGCCTTCAGCCACACTTCGGTTTCCCACGATCTCCAGTTAACCTGAATGGCAAGTTAATGTAGGTCCTCCGACTCTACGAAGTTGAAAAAGCAATAGGAAATCTGAAGCGAGGGAGACCAGCAGGCCCGTATAGGTTTACTCCTGAAATTTTTAAGGATGGTGGTCCAGTATTAGCAGTGGGATTAACTGAGGTTTTAGGTAGAATTCGGGAACTGGACGTAATCCCAACTGACTGGTCTCAATCACTGACTGTGCCAGTTTATAAGAAAGGACAAAAGTCCTCTTGTGACAATCATAGAGGAATCAGTTTGACTAATGTAGTGTCTAAAATATTTGCTTCAATAATGCTTCGACGCCTAACTAGAGCTCGTGACGAGAAGACTAGAGAAAACTAGGCTGGTTTTCGACCTGGACGTGGTTATATAGACTAGATATTCACACTACGTCAGGTTCTACCACACAGACACGTTCAGACGCCCCACAATCCTAGTATTTCTCGACCTTAAAGCAGCATTTGACTCTGTTGATCGTAAGGTTCTACGGCAGTGTTTGTCATTGAAAGGAGCACCAAAGAAGTACATTACCTTATAAAGGTTCTCTACTCAAACACAACTGGTCGAGTGAGAGCTTGTGGCGAACTGTCATCAGAATTGATTACTTCAAATGGTGTTCGTCAGCACTGTTCACTCTATCCAATTTTATATAGCTTTGTCGTTGACGTGCTTTTAGAGATAACACTTTCCTCATCTAAATTTCCAGGAGTTGAACTTTCACTTGTTGACTTAGAATATGCTGATGACATAGTTTTATTTGGTGAAGACGCTGACAAAATGCAGAGTTTTCTGGTCACTGTGAGCAACAATGCAAGCATGTTCGGCATGCGATTCTCCCCCTCGAAATGCAAAATGTTGCTTCAGGATTGAGTTGCATCGACACCCGAACTAATGATAGGGAGTGAAGTAGTTGAGCGTGTCGACCGCTTCACTAATCTGGGAAGTCTCATCAGCCCTTGTGGTCTGGTGTGTGACGAAATCTCAGCACGGATACAGAAGGCTCGACTAGCTTTTGCCAACTTGCGTCATTTATGGCGTAGGCGAGATATCCGTCTATCAACCAAAGGACGTGTTTACTGCGCAGCAGTTCGTTCCGTAGAGATATCCGTAGGTTACTAGTATTTGATCATAGGTGTCTTCGAAATATTGCTCGTATATCCTGGGACCATCGAGTAAGTAACGCAGTTGTTAGGAAACGAGTACTAGGTATGGATGGCAAATCAATTGATGAAGTGGTGAAACTTCATCAGTTGAGATGGCTGGGACACGTGTTACGTATGCCCAACAACCGACTGCCTCGACAAGCGATGTTTTGTTGCATAGGAGTAGATTGGAAGAAAGGTAGGGGCGGCCAGACTAAAACGTGGCACAAGTCCATGAAGTCACTGACAAGTGGACTGAGCCATGTTGGTAGGTGTAGACTACCTGGTTGGAGACCGCGAGATGACAGCAACCGATGGTTGGAGACCCTGAATGACATGGCTCAAAATCGTTTGCAGTGACGCAGGTGCATCTGTAGTGCATCGAACACGAGTGGGGACAATCGAATGTGTTTCAAAATATTACAGGACTTGTTAATAAAATCTAACAATCATAAAGTAAATGCTTAATTTGCAAAATGTCTACCAATTGTCTCAAAATGAATCAGACTCCATTGTTCTTAGAATTTCATGCAAATTGCATCCTGTTACCATTCTTGACTGTTCGATCCCCTGCGAGACCTTCTGTTCATGACTAGCATCATATACTACTTATGTCAAAATGAGTAGCACACATCCACTCTTTGTGTTCTCCCAAATTCTAATCATCTGAATTCTTCATGTTCCTTTCTTTTTTTCTTTCTAACTTTATTTCACTGGATTATACGCCTTGAATAACATCTTCAGACCCTAATGTTTCCGATTACTACTTATGTGGTGGGTGCTACGTATATTGATATAAGTAGTATCCAAGGCGAGTCAGGAATGTAATGTCTGGCAGCAGAAGGTCGCGAAGATCAAGAAAGGACGAACAGGAATAGAAATCAATTGGTATGGAAATGCAAGAACAATGAAGTCCGAGACAATTATTGAACATTTTGAAAATTAGGTATTATAGTACAGTTTTTCTATTTTACCAAGTAACTCTGTAGTTTTGTGCTAAATATAATTCGGTTGTCCTCACCTGTGTTCTCCTTCACTACACTTATACTTTTGTTACCTCCACCACTATGGGATTTGAATCGACAATTTGTCTCTGTGCTAATGTGGTATGGCAACTCGAACTGATGTACGTACGTACGAAGTTCTACGTTGTTGCTGACTGACTGAGTGCTGCTTGATGTGTCGTCGGTTTAGCACAAAAATGAGGTCATATAAGTTGATGATCTGATTGGCGATTTATTCACGTGATAGTTGACAAGAGCAAAAGTCATCACACTGATAACATTAAAATTCCTTTGACTGCAATGAAATAATGCATTTCTTAACTGAATACCTTTGGTAATAGCGTAATTAGATTTAGATGGGGAACATTGGTCACTGAAAATCTTAACCAAACTTTTTGACATCACTCATGAACAATAAACAAACTAGTGTATATTATATATGTGTTTTTCTAACCGTTTCTAGTTATGGATATTTATTGTTTGTTATTATTAGGCGAGAGGAAATTTGTTTGGAATAATATACTTATTCTTGTTTATAAGGACATGATATTGAAACTCTGACTAGACTTACACTTTATCAGAATTTCATGTAAAAGCTTGCGACTTTTGTGATCAGACTTGTCATCAGTTTATTAACTAGTTTACGAATAATGTACAAAACCTTAATAAGACGAAAGTTAGGGCATGTGCGCTAGCCAAAAATTTTTTAAATACTCACTTTGACTAGAGTTTGTTATTCACAGAATGTTATTTTGTCATTAAGCCAAATAAAATGACATCACAACAAATTAAGTGTGTTAAAATGTCTGCACAAAGATGTATGACGTAAGTAAAGCAGTCTATATGCTTCACAGGACTAAGCTGGATACAGTAATTAGTCCATTTCTTAAAAAAACATTTCGTTAAGTGTTTTATTAATTCTAACTTCATTGACAGTTTGGATCAGTGTTAGGATGAACATTTACTTCGAAACATTTGTTGCTGGTAATATAATTAGTTGTAACTTAGAACGGCTTGGAGATGATGAAAAACTTTAAAACAATAAATTCACTTTATATCGTATTATTTGAAATGATTTACAAGAAGTGACACCTTTACATATCAATAACTTACAGGAACGTCTTCCTGATTTACGGAAATGTTGGTTGTAAGAGAGCTATTAATCTCAGTATCTAACATAAATTATGTATGAAGTTCAGTTTTATAGCTTCACTTTCAACTGATAAGAATTATTGTATACATCAAATTTCAGTCACTGAAGATAAAAAGAATTAATTTCGTTCACTCTCTTCTCGATTCATTCTACGGCTAATGAATAAGCATCAGATTAGCCGAAGCAGAATATAATTTATGATGGTTAGGTTGAAACAGGAAATTGATACAGTAATTCATTGATCTTTGACTTCAGTCTTTTGGGAAATTTCAGACTCACAGGTCATGAGCTACATCTCAAGAAGCGTACATTGTTCGTGGAGTTGAAGTTAGACATTAACACCGTTGAATGCCGGCTCAGTGGTCTAGTGGTTAAGTGCTCGTGCGCGAGACCAGTAGGTCCTGGGTTCGAGTCTCGCAGGGGGCGAGGTCGTGGATGCACACTGCTGAGGAGTCCCACAATAGGACGAAACGGTCGTCCAGTGCTACCGGGTTTCCCATGGTGGTCTAGCTTCAACTGACTCATGATCTTAACCATTGAAAATACATATTAATGCTTGGATTATGTTTCATTTTTTTGTGTTAGTCTGCTAAAGCAAGTTGAGTTACTATTGGTCTGACAGTAAATGCACAAACTAAATCTGTAGTTCTTTAATATTTTTGGGTTTGTTTCAGTGTTGAATTTATTCCTAAGAAGGAAATACTGAATCTCTAAAACTGGTTTATCCTCTGATTTTATCGAAGATTGTGATAGCTTCCAATGGCTACCAAAAGTCAAAATATCAATTTCGTATTTGAGTAAGATACAATAACCTCTGTAGATCACATCGCATACATCAACTCAACCTCACTAAATTCAGTTCTCTTCAAAGAGTAAGCTGTGTTTTCTCTAAACTCACTGCAGCACTAAACAGTAATAATTACCACTAGTTAATACTGAGGATGAAAGTGTTAAGATATATCAAGCCAAAATTTAGCGAATAAATAGTTTAATTTACCTTTTTTTATGAAGGGATTATGTCTATCACTCCAAAACACACGTCATAATTATACTATGCTCTCAGTGTATTTATGTTTATCGTATACTATTTGCTACTTTTTAAAACGATATCACCATTGATCATTAATTTTACGTACATCTTATACTTCTCATTGACAAAATCTTTGTCCTTCTTATTCAGTCAAATAAAATACCATTATGATTTTAAACATAACTTCTCCTTTTGTATTAATCTGATCACACTTATAAACTAGTGAAGATTCCGGGATTATTTATATTTATATATGTGGTGACAAGCTATCTGTTAATGTGATATTTTGAAATGTGTGAACTTAAAATAGTTAATCAAGAAGTTGAAATCAAAGAGATAAGAAAAAATAACACGAAATTTTGTAAATCTCTTATCAGTTACGTTTTCATAGTTTAAGAAGTCAAATTCAACAATAAAACATGTCAGAATACAAAGGTGATTCAAGATTTGTTTTTGTTTCTTCATAAAGTACTGGTAGATAGCATAATTTACAGTGAACAATCAGGAAAATGATTCATTTTCAAAAATATAAAATCAAAGCACGTGCATAACATGAGATTCTGTTTAATGTCACTATTGACCAAAGATTTTTCATAGTTTCTTTGTACAGTTTCTATGAGCGATTAAATTTGGATAGATTTACAGCTTCTTTAAAGTGTCTATTAAATGTTATAGCAGGTATAAATTTAGTTCATACATAGAAATATCTTACTGTACAATTTTGTAGTGAAGTAACATAACAGGGTGCGGATTGTTATAAAATACAACCATATGAAGAGTAGTTGCCCATATTTTGATTTGTTATCATATTGTCTGAAACGTTTCTGGGTATACCTAAACGTTGGTCAGTTGCGTGTAAATGATCTGCACCAGGACCTTCTTGGTTAATAATATTCTTATTTTCATCTGCTATATGATAATATGGTCTATTGACGGTAGGAGTGGAACTATTAACTTGTATGTAAGGGATATGGGAACCAGTAGTTTGAAAATCATTTGGTGGTGGTATAGTCGATCCATTTGACGGAAACTCTATGCTCATATTTCTGCAGTCAGTGTTATTTTGATTTGATTGTGGCCAATTATTTTCCAATTGTGCCATATACTTCACTGGTGATTCCTGATAATAACGTAATGATGAGACCTCGGAACCCTGTGAAAACGAAGTAACAAGAGAAGAAACTGAGCTTGTCTTGTTTAGCATAAAAGACAAAGAAGTAAAGAAGACACACCAATTACTGAAATCCAGGGACAGAGGGAAAGGTGGGTAAGAACACTTTGAAAAACTTTTGAATAGACCAGCTCCACTGAATCTACCAGACATCGAAGCAGCACACATTGATCTTCCTACAGCTGTTACTTCAACAACAGTCGAAGAAATCAGGATGGCTATCAGACAAATCAAGAGTGAGAAAGCAGGAGAATCAGACAACATTGCAGCTGAAGTACTGAAGTCAGACACAAAGGCAATTACAAACATGCTCCGTGTTCTATTCAGGTAAATTTGGGAGAAGGAAAAAGTGCCTACAGACTGGGATGAAGAATACCTAACCAAGATACCAAAGAAAGGAGATCTTGGCAAATGTGAGAGCTGCAGGGGCATCACACTGATAATAATACCAGAAAACGTTTTCAACAGTGTTTTGAACAGAATAAATGACTCGGTAGACGCCCAACTTCCAAACCGGATTCCGTAAGGATCGGTCGTTCACAGGCCAAATCGCTACACTACGGATCATCGTTAACAATCAGGTGAGTAGAACTCGTCGCTATACATCAACTTCCTTGATTATGAGAAAGCATTTTACAGCGTGGATAAGAGAAGTTTATGGAAGCTTCCTCGACACTATGGTATACCTGAGGAAATAATCAACATCATACGGAATTCACGGGACGGCCTACACCGCAGAGTCTTGCATGGAGGACAGCTGACAGATGCATTCCAAGTGATGACCATTGCTTACGTCCTTCCCCTTTCATCTAGTGGTTGACTGGACTATGGAGACCTCAACATCAGAGGGGAAGCACGAAATACAATGGAGAGCCTAGATGCAGCTAGACGATTTGTACTTTGCAGACGACCTGGCTCTTCTATTTCATACACACCAAAAAAATACAATCAGGGTAGCAGTAGCCTCAGCAGCAATAAGCCCTAACATTAACAACGGAAGAAGCGATATCCTGTAATACAACACAGGTAGTACAAACCCAATCAAATTTGCTGGAGAAACTCTGGGAGAGGTGGAAAGTTTCAAGTACCTAACCAGCATCATCGGCGAACTAGGATGATACGATGCAGACGTAAAGGTAAGGATCGGCAAAGCAAGAGCAGCATTCCTACAGTTGGAGAACAAATGCAAATCAAAACAACTGTCAGTCAACTCTAAAGTCAGGAATTTTCATTACGAACGGTAAGCCTGTTCTAAAGTACAGAGCTGAAACCTAGAGAACTACCACAACCATCATCAAAATGCACAAGTATTTATAAACAATTGTCTATGTAAGATACTCAATGTCCGTTGACCAGATACTATCAGCAACAACCTTCTGTGGGAGAGAACAAACCAGCTTCCAGATGAAGAAAAGACTGGGAAAAGACATGGGAGATATATATAACATTCATTGTGGAGATCATGTAACTGCATCACAAGTTAAGTACAAACTTAGAATGCTGAAGTGGAAAGGAAAAGAGGAAGGACAAAGAATACATTATGCCGGAGGTCGGAGGCTGGATGAATAGCACTTGGAAAAAGCTGGATAGGATTGCCCATGACAGAGTTGGTTGAAGGATCCTAGTTGTCGACTTATGCACCACGAGGGTTAACAAGGACAAGTCAGATTTGGTATAAAGCTTGAATTAAGCCTTGATCGAATTGTATGATTCTGTGCATATTTCATGAACATTATTTTTAACCTGAATACAAGGGTTTTCTGTATTGCTAACCATAAAGCTACTTTAACGATGGATATCAATTAATTTTATGGTATATTAAAAAAGAGATGGGGATTAGTTCGTACATAGAGTATTTCAGAGTGCTTTTTTATCTTCATTTTAACTCAACGTACATCACCATTTCTATCGGATTTATGTTTCATCAAGTTGTAGTTTTTCACACTTCGTTTAAATTGTTCCTTTGAAGACTATTGAACTTCTTGTTACGCTTTCTTCTTAAGAAATATCTTGACTTCTGTTAAACACATGTAAAATTAACTATTTTTACTTGGTTCGCTTGTTCTTCTTTAAGGTACCAACAAAATGACATATGCTTTAGCCTTAAATCTTGTTACTAAACTTTATTGTGCCAACTTAGAGTCTAGGATATCTTTATTTTCAAAAAGTGTCTTTTTGAAAGTGAATTGGTATTTCAATTCATATTTCTTTACATAATTATCTTATAGGTTTGTGGTAAAGATGGACTTGTTCAGTTAAAATTACTAACCTTGTTCGTTTGTGTATGCTGCCGGTTGCTGAAAACATGAACATCAGGCAATTCAAAACTGTTCGTGAGATGTGATACAGATTGTTGTCCAAAGGAATTGTATGAATTTCTTGCTACTTGTTGTTCTGATGATGTGTATTCATCTAAAATTAATAAGTTTTGTGAAAAATAAGAATATTTTTTTTAACAAAGCATATTCGAAATCTAATCTAGTTTATCTAAACTTGAAAGCTTCACTTGACTCATGATCTCAACTATTAAAATTACTATACTGTCCACAAAATCCCTTCTGATACTAATCAACACATGCTCACTAGTGACTGGAGTTCTAGTAATAAGTAGTGATCAGTGGAGTTCAAGCGTGTCTGCTGTGAGATAGTTACCCACTGAAGACAATGCTGTACGGTGGCGCCATTTCGCAGATTGGTTGAAGTTAGACACTAACACCGTTGGATGCCGGTTCATTTGTCTAGAGGTCAAGCGTTCGCGCGAGAGATTGATAGGTCCTGGGTTCGAATCGTGGATGTTCATTGCTGAGGAGTCCCATACTAGGACGAAACGGCTGTCCAGTGCTTGCAGGTTTTCCATGGTGGTCTAACTTCAATTGACTCATGTTCTGAACTATCAAAATGTATATTTTGATTTTGTTTATCTGAATGTTACTATCGATGAATAATTAGTTATAACCTCATGTCGTATAAATCTTAATTGTTCTTTATTCAGATACAATCTCAACTTATGGTATTGAAGCACTGATACATTTAAGTGTTCGATGGTAAATAATGAAAGTTATGCATCTAATTTGAACTGATACACAAATCCTAGATGATCACGAAATTTCAATTCCCCTACCATATGGCCTGATAATAAATTATGCAATAATTTCATTTTTTTCTTACGTAAAATTAAATTAGTGTATCTTCATATATGATTTTAATCGCCTCTTGTTAAGTAATACTGATAGTTTCTCGCCTACCATATAAGGAAATATTGTTAACTTATTTCCTACTGAATTTGAACTACTCATCGACTAAATGTCAACTTCGAGCTTATTTGTATAGCTAGGATATTAACTATAGATAGAATTGAAATGTTCTCAGTAGTACAGTATTGTCCATTTGCTATTTTATTAACTATGATACCAATAAGATTATGTGAGTTAGTACCAGGAACTCGGGATGTAACGAAGCTCAAAGTCAGAAATTAAGATATGATCGTTTAATATGATTTTTTTCCAATTTAAATCTATTATTTTTCGTGGCCATTTTTTGAATAGCTCGTTTTGCACTACGACTTTGTTAAACATGTTATATTGTACACAAGCTATCTAAACTTCCAACAATTTTTCACAGAGATACAACACATTAATATTTCATTGGAATACTAAAAGTTAAATTTACCGCTTGCATGAGGATTGACACAATGCTTCCATGACGGAGCATTACCTCCATGAAAGCTTGTAGTCATTCCATTTTGAATCCAGCTTCCTGAAGTCCTCGCGTTTGATATAAACAACTGTCCGTTTTGATGGGGACTCTGACTCATTATATTTAGTCCGAGGCCCCCGTTAGGTAACGTCAAGCCACCACCAAGATGTCTGTAGTCACCCAGCAAGTTCGAGTGATGAGATCGTTGAAAAGTTGAAAGACTCCTTTCTAAACTATTAGTATTTCCATATCCATTCGACCTGATGGTGGAAACACTTGAAGCAGCTCCAGAATGTGGTGACCTAGTTCTGTTACTTTTTTCAGTCAAGGTTCTACCGACAGTGACAAGCCGTCTGTGAGTGGGTGTAGGGCGCTCTATATTTCTCAGATTTTGTTCTGTATCGTAATTGTGAGACGAACAACTATTGGGAAATACTGGGGGCATAAATTCTGAACAGTCATGATAATCTTGAATATTTTGAATCGCTTCTACCGTTCCATTATCTGGGTTTAAATAAGCCACTGTAGTTTGATCAGCATTATTTATTAAAACAGACGATGGTTGAATAGATATATCACTAGAAGGTCGATTATTAAATTCTATATGATTTGGAGAGTTGAAGTTCTGCATATTCATTGCATTTATGCTTGAATGAGGTGAGCTTGAAAATATTTGATTTCCTCTTATAATAGATGAAGTTTGATCTGGACATATATTCAAAGGTATTTGTTCCCATCCATTTTGAAAGGGTGAAAACTAAAGGTGGATAATGATAACATTGACTAAAAATTACGAATGTCGATGGAGAAAAAATTGACACTAACTTACTTTTATTTTTACCTCATCAGATACTCGGTTAGAGTACTTGGTTACACAAAGTACTGTTATCAGTGATTTTAACATTACTTAAAATATTCCCGAGGACAATATCAAGGAAAAGTTTATTCTTAAAAATTACCTTCGAACTGAAATATTTCTGTTTTAAAATAAAGCAGTTATTTAGTCTACATTAAAGTATTTGGCTTTGAAAATCTTTTCTTTGTAAATATGGAACCATTTCTGTCTATAAACGTTGATAAAGCTCTAAGTCTATAAATTTAATAACAAGTGATTTCCTTTTCACCATTACGACTTGTATGATAATCTAGTCGATGATTTCAGATAATGTTAAGCAAAGTTTAAAACTAAAAACTCCGCCTGTAGCACCTCTGCGGCTACTGACGGTCCCAAGCCTGGATAAAGGAGAAGGGTTGGGCATGGGGTTAGTGACCTCATTCCGTAGAAAATCAACTCACTAAAAAGACGCTAACCAGAGAAACTGAGTGGTTTCTACACTATATTTGACTTGCTCAAAATATTTTTGTTTGTTTTACTGAAAGAGGAAAATATTGGATAACTTATTTATATTATGAGAAATCAAACAAAAGTATTGTTATTCTAACATAACGATAAAATATCAGTTCTTTGCAGAAAAATAATAATAAGTTAGTCAATGAATTATTTTGCATCTGTCCTATATTTTCCTCATTTTATCGAAATATGGCTGATATCAGATATTTGACTGACGTAAACATTCTGATGTCGATTAAAATTTATTAAAGTATTTTGTATAAGGTGATATTTCCTGGTAGATAATGTTATGTTCAATATGATGCTGAGAGTAATGTACTTTGGTCAATAATGCTGATGATATAGTGAACGATGATCAAGGTACGGTAAATCTATTTATCGTCTCATGTACAATCACATAGTACTTCTGCAAAATAATGAAAATCATACATTATAGACATTATTTGCACATCTACCTTCAGTTGTCCTTTACTTGATACTTTCAATTTTGTTGTTATTCCGAAAGCTTTCTGTTTCCTAATCTCTTCTCTTTAATTCAGTCTTCTATTACTGTTGCATACTACATATATCTGTCAACAGAAGTAAGAATGATGAGTTTACCTCTTTGGGTACATTTAAAATGTTATAGCTCAGTACGGTTACTTTAGTATTCAGTCAATTGTATCTTAATACATGTTAGGATGAATAAAAAAACAGAACAACCGTGGATAAAAGTGACAGTTAATTCTCGTCATATAGGGTTAGATTTTAAATGCTTCAGATAGCAAAAACAGTGAGTATTTTTCTCAGATTTTGAGTTTATCATTGAAGTATATAGTCAGTGTTATAATAGTGTTTTATTTTGGTTCTTTGTATATTCATTCGGTTTATTCCCAAACCATGAAAATTAACCAATTATTGATAGTTCTGAGAAGTTATTGTCTATTCATAAGTCATTTCTGTAAATAATCTGGTTAATTATCATTATAAAACACTAAAGTGTTGTTTGTTCAGGTGTAGCAAAATGTGTTTTAATCTAATTAGTATATTTCATTTATAACCTCATTTGTTACCTGGTCATGTGGTACTGACTGCAACATGTAACTGGCATTTAAACGCATATCGTCTGGATACATTGGAAAACTGGTCTGTGTATTTGTGTGTATTTCTGAGAAACCATTTTCTACTGGGTATATTTGCATAAGGTCCCCCGCAGCTGAAAAAATGGATAAAAGTTATTTAATATATATGCCAATAAAGTAAGTAATTTTTTAATAAACAAATACACATCATACATACTTCATACTGGCTTACAGTTAATGGCAGTTTACATGTTTGTTCATTTTTTATGTGAAGTCATTCAATCATTTAATTTACCGTTGGAGTATGTCCTAATCTTATTCTAACTCAGATGAGTAGAAGAACTTGCGATCACTATTCATAACTTTTCATAATAAATCGATGAGATCGATTAGCCAACATGATGATGAGGATATGATAAATTTAGCTTCTGTAATATCCCCATCAAGTAAGCATAATCCTATTTCAGTAGATAGTTAGTATTTTTAATCGCACATAAATTTTACTAACATAATATATTTAAAACGGTAAATGTAACTGAAATGGCATTTTTAAAGATCCTACTTTTATTAGATATTTACAGTAAATGTAACTGCAATTAAATTAGTGATGTTCAAATTCATGAATTTCTAAATGATGGACATCATTGTAAGTATTTTTTGATCCAAGAATGAATAAATGATCAGACTCCTTTTTAAATTTGGATTCTGTGCTCGTTTTAACACATTTCCTCATTTATCGTCACATTTCATTGTTGTTTTTACGCTGCCTGACAAACGGTAGATCTCTATTGTTTGAATCGTTAAGTACTTTCAAGTTTTCTGATCGTAGTATGAAAAGAAACTGAAAAATCGAACCCTTGCTTTTTGGATTAAGTATTCAAACTTGACAAGTATGCACATTATATCTTCATATAGTCTCTGACATAAAAATCTTAATTGCTATCAGCTTCACCGATTTTTTCAGAGAGCACTAAATTAATATTTGCTTCAATAATTTCAATCTTTTGTGTTATTTAAGTTGATTTTAATTGCAAGACAGTTACTGTAGCATTTTGATTAACCGTCAGTTGATTTGATAAACCGAAAGTTTTCTAAAATTGACTTCTTTTGGTGGTCTTAATAGGGTAAGAATGAGAATCGTGATTTTAAATGTTTTCTGTTTCGACTATAATCATAAATTACCAACATTTAAGAGAGTAGACTCTTATGTAAGCTCAATAGTTGAATTCATGAGCCGATCTAAGCTAGACCATCATTGAAAACCTGGAAGTATTGGACGATTATTTCGTTCTAGTTCGAGACTCCTCAACAGTTCGCAGTCACGATTCCACATGCTGGACTCAAACCCAGTACCATTAGTCTCGCGCCCGAATGCTTATCGTCTAGACCACTAAGCCGACATGCAATTGTGTTAATTTCTAATTTCAATCGATCCATGATCCTGATCAACCATTCATCCATTGTCTGAGGTAGATACCTGTCTTTACCCGACATGGATTGAATTCCGCTGGTCACGACTTCTCATTAATACTCCAGGAAGTCCATCTTGAAACCAGTCACTAGTGAGCATATTGGTTGCGCAAGATCATGAACCGATTGAAATTAGACATTAACACAATTGCATGTCGGCTTAGTGGTCTAGACGATAAGCATTCAGGCGCGAGATTAATGGTACTGGGTTTGAGTCCAGCATGTGGAATCGTGACTGCGAACTGTTGAGGGGTCTCGTACTAGAACGAAATAATCGTCCAATACTTCCGGGTATTCAATGGTAGTCTTGCTTAGATTTAAAAATACTACAATTTTCACAAGCCCCCATTCTTATGTAATCATTAAAAAGCTTTGGAAATGCTATTTAATTGACTATACTAATTGTTTTCAAATAAAGGAATAACTAGTTAATAAGCCACTTACTCTAATGAACCCTTTTGATTCACTGACCAGCTGTTTACGTGGTCGCGATTTATATAATTTGATTTATTTCAAGAGAATCCATTTGAAAGTTTTTAAGAAGGATATTTTCCTAGTGTTGTGGATTATTAGTAAACAATCAGTCTATGGAATACTATGGGATTCAAAAGGATATAATTTTATCGGGGTGTTGATGTATTAACTGAATCTTATTCACAACAATGTTTATTCCAACTACTGATAGAATAATTACTGCAGTTCCGAAATTAATACTAAATTGAGCATATAAATACTAGTAGAATTGACGAACCTATTTTCGAAGCTCTAATAGAGAAAGAGACTGATTAATTTAGTCTTAGATATTGACATTGCTAGACTTCTAATATGCTACAGAAAATCTGACTGATTCGATAGTAACTCATATTTACTATTTAACTAATGTATGTACATATATATGGGTGAAGTTTATTTCGTAATTTAGTTGCTGAAGCAAACAACTGACTTTCTCTCTATCATAGGTGAGTTTAGTTAAAAAAAAGGGCAACCAAAAATAACGAGATGAAAATTACATAAAACTTAAGTCAAACCATGTTAAGATATGTAAGTCAAAGAAAATTATACAAATCAAACAGTGAAAAAGAGGATATAGGGGGTTTAAAGAAAAAATGTATTCAATCAGATATAATTCAATCTTCATCTATCTCTCACCAGATGGTTTACGTTCATCCTGTTTCATTTTTTGGCGCTTGTATCGTGTAAATATTAATATTACCAATAAATTTGCTATTAAAATAAATGATCCGAATACAGAGACTGCAATTATAATCACAAAAGCATTATCATCGAGAGAATTTAATTCATGACCAGATCGAACTGATCGTCTTTGGGGATCCGGATTTATGGAGTTTTCAGAGTTCTTAGAATTTAACCGCCATCTTGAATCCCAATGTCCTCTTTGAATATCTTTTAATGATTTGGCTTTGGCTTCATCCCTCATTGCTTCCTCTCCTGACAGTGAATCAAATGCTAAAGTAAGTTTTATAATTAAAAGTGGTTATCAGTTTTTATATCATTAAAAGAATGCACAAAGCTTTGTTGTTAATGTGATCATATGTCTTAGAATCTTATTATATCTTGATATCATATTCTTATTGACAAGATGTCCTTTATCTCTCCATATTTTATTCTTGAATGAACATGAATATTAGACCTCCTAAAGTCGTCAGTTCGCTTTCATTCATGCTAGGCATTTTACAGCACTCATACAAATTAAATGATTTCCTATTTAAACATATAGGTAATGCTTATCACACAACCATTGATGCGTAAATCCCTACGAATTATTTTGTCTTCAAAGGAATATTATTTGCATAAATTTATTCTTATGGATATTTTTTGTTTGGATGAGACAGTATATTTTACATTGAGTTATATTCCCAAGAGAATTTCCATATTGATCTACTTATTTTATAGAACAAATCTTTAGTGTACAACTGTTATCAATACAATCGATAGGCAAATGTACGAAAAAAAGATAGGTGATAAACGTTTCAAGTCAACATATGTTGAAACTTGATCTTGAATTGGTTATACTGTAGTAGATGTTTTCTGCATACTGGTGGCTTTCAGTGTTCAGCTTTTTCATTCAAATAAGCTTCTACAAATCATCTATTTGTTGTATACAGATTAGATTATAATTAACTGCATTTCTACTTTTTGTTATATATGCTAGTTTTCAGTGAAGAACCTTTATAAGTAATAAATATATTTTTTGTGATGTCTTAAGTAGTAGAAAGGAAAGAAGGCCTGACTATTAATCCAACTTGTACTGTTTATCCAAAGAACCACATTTGACCTTATTTATTTTCCACACAATCTACACACTCAGTTTCAACCCCACTACTGCATAATACAAATGTATACATTTTTCATACCCACCTTCTGACCCACCAATTAATACAGAATCACTTTGACCAAAATAAATTGATTTTGACATGTTAAGACACTTTGTGATTATGGTTGTCCTAAAAATATTCTTCACTGTTTGCTTTGAACTATTTAAACTTGTGTTAATTTATTTCTGTTATTTATTCACTCTGAAAAGGTGACTTACATTAGGACACGAAATGTCAGAAATACAGTTGTCTACTCAGTGGGATATCATAAAAATATATTTATCGTTAACTTTCTATTCAATGCTCAATTTATATGTAACTATCAAGTCCAATCTTAGCAATGCTGCTTATTGGAGCGTTTAATTTCAATTGAAAACATAATCTACACACAGTAACCATCATTCATTTACTTCACTTAGCATTTGACAAATCACTATCATTTCAGCCTTGATAATGGTTTTTACTAATCTGTTCTATAAAAACGGTCAGCTCGTCTCACTATAAATTTCCGTTTCCATCTGAGTATGTATTGATGCTTTTGATAAATTAAGGTCAGCTGCATAATTTGTTGTTTCAACTAGTACAAAAGGAAGAAATGTTTCTATTATATTTGACATGATGAGAGTGGTATAGTATACCAGATTGTTAAATTGTACACTACTCATTAACTATTTATCACTAAGACTTGAGTTTTAAAAATTAAACTTTCCCTTTAGAAGTTTCTTTTAAAGCCTAAAACTCAGATGAAATATAAAAAATAAATCAGAAGCAGCAACATCTAAAATGAATACTTCTTAGGTTGTTACAAATAGTCAGTTGTTCTTAATTAGGAAAGAATATGTGGATAATCTAATACTGAGATTAAGTAATTAATACTTTAATCATTTCAGTAGTTGACTGGGATATTTTTAGCGTATGATAAAGGCATCTACCGATCTGAATGCAGTACTGATTGGATTTTAAAAAAATAATTACAAACGACAATATATTGAAGTAAAGATTGGAAATGGCTAGCGATTTTGAAACTATGCACGATTTACGGTGAGTCAACCTTATTTTCTGTTATAAATCTTGAATCTACAATTTATTTCTTTATTAGTCAACTATAAAAATAAATAGAGCTTCATAGATATATATTTATTTTACACCTATTTATAATGAAATTATTGAATGGTTTTTGAACACTTTCTTAATCTAATAATTGAATTCATTAGTTAATTAAGGCTAGACCATCGTGAAAAATCTGGAAGCACTGGACGGCCGTTTCGTCCTAGTATGAGACTCCTTAACAGTGCGTATCCACGATCCCGCTCCGCGGGATTCGAACCAAGGACCTCTAGACCGCATTGAACGGTGGTAATGTCTAACTTTAACCAATCGATGAACCTGATTTTACTGAAATGTGATCATATACTTAAGTGAAACTATATATCTTTTTAAAATGCTGCGTAGAATGTAAGAATATTTATCTAACAATGCATACATCTATATGTTAATACATCTGAAATTTTAATTTGTGAATGAATTCTCTAACATTTTATAACCAAGAAAAGAGAGAATTGATTCAGTACATGAATTAAGTAAAATCCTGTTAGTCTGTAGAGTTTTGTCTTCTAAATTCATAATTTCAGTATTCCTACATTAAATAACTTATATTTCAATGTATTGTAATCAATGTTTAAGAATAGTGTAATAAGAAAAGGAAAACTAAGCCAAGACTTCTGAAATATAATTGAATTGATATAATCTGTTTTAATTGTAACGCACAAAACAATTATATGATCAAAAGTAGTATCTGTACATCAACTGAATACTATATTCTCTTATGTCATTAAAAGCCATAAACATTGGTAGCAACCATGATATATTATAAAATAAAGTTATCTTGTTAGTTAACTACTCTTTTCATAAAGACAATATACAGAATAACATACCAGTTGTAGAAGCCAAAAGATAGGGTGTAAACGATGTTGTAGTAGTTAATGTATTATAAGCACTAACTGACACACGATATGTTGTAGCTTTTTGAAGACCTATTAAATGTATAGTAACAAAATAAATAGAACATATTGATTAGCAAAATAAATAACAATAGTATTGTACACTAAAATTACTTTAGTTTCTAATTAAGTGTTAGTTATCTTTTATAGAAAGTACTTGTCTAGAAATCATATAATATTTTATAGAAACATTGACAAGTGACAAAAAACAATTCAATTATAAGTAATTATGAAATATATAGTCTAAAAAATCTCTTTCTCTATATATGAATGACAACTGGCATTATTACTATATTAAAAATATCACCCAACATTTGGTAAGTTATATTGATTTTTTAAAATAAAAATATAACACTTTCGCAATAATCATTTTATTAATTTGATTTAATCATTCGAACAATATGCATATATATGCCTGGTACTACGTTGTGAACTAACTGACTGATTCAAACAATAAGTGAGTAAACGTAATATGATGATCTTTTGTTTTACTTCTCAAAGAGACAATCTATGTTATTTGCTAATATAAAACTAACTGATAAATCTCACTGTTTTGTAAACTGTAAATTAAACTGAATATAAATGCGACTAAATGTTCCGATGGATGAACATTGACTGATCTTTTTAACATCACTAAGCACTGGATTCTTTCTTTTAGTCATACATTTCGATATTATAATACTAAAGCATATTCATTAAAGGTAGTTTTATTTGTGATCCTTAATAATAAAAAACGAAAACTCTCACATCGCAAGAAATTAATTAAATCTTGTTGGAAAACGTACTTTTATAATGTTTAAACAAACACTAAATTATTATGCTTACTACTATACAGCTTGCAACAGAAGGTAAGAAAAGAACACTATCAGTCAAATTTTAAAATATACAAAGAATAACGTTCGGTAAAGTTTACTGATAACTTAATGTTGTGATATTTATTGAGTATAAGTTCAAAAATAAAAATTTCTATAACATACCATGTGACAAAGATAATAAGTTGGTTTTGGCGTCGATTAAATCCATCAGGAAGCATTAGTTATCTCAAGACTACATGTACACCTTGTCAACAATTGCTAAACAACACGAAACTTAGATTTAGCATTTCATGTTCACTACGCGTAACCATCATCCAACAATTTAGTTTAGTCACACCATATCTTTTAATGGTTTATATGAGTGATTAACATCTATCGTAAGATAGATTATACGAAACGATTATATATATAGTAAATCACCAACTAACATTTCATTGTATGTGGAGTCCACTTTATTGCTAAATCCATAAATACTCTAAATAACTTTATATATAAGAAGAATATTTTGGAGAATGAATGATCGCTCAAAGAATGTTATTACACTTTGAAAGATTTACAGAACCTATTCTGTCATAATGATCAGGTGCTGAGACTCAAATCATAGTTTTAGTTTTATCGATTAGATTTTGTATACGACTATGATAAGTGAAGTTGAATAAAAATCTAACTTATCCTGAAATTTTTCATGTTTAAACCAATTTAATTTTTCTTCTATTCACTATTAAATGCATAGTTGAGTTATTCATGATAATCTTTCTGAAACCTTTTTATTGCACAATTTATTTGCTAGGATTTAGTTGTTGGTTGTTTTTTTTCAGTTACTTCTTTCACTGGTTGAAATCATGAGTCAATTGAAGCTAGACCACCATGGAAAACCTGGAAGCACTGGACGGCCGTTTCGTCCTGGTATGGGACTCCTCAGCAGTGCGCATCCGCGACCCCGCACCCCGCGGGATTCGAACCCAGGACCCACTGGTTTCGCGCGCGAGCACCTAACCATTAGACCACTGAGCCGGCATCCAACGGTGTTAATGTCTAACTTCTTTAACAAAATTAATCTATTAGAACTAAATGAAATACATTCAGAAAAGCTAATTCTAAATTTAATATTTTATCTTCATTGTTTTGCGATAAGTACCATATATTGTTTGATTAAGATGCTAAAATGTATGCTGTATTTACTGATTACCGCTTCTATTTTTATTTTGGTAACTGACATTCAGCTCTATGCATCGCATATGTCCAAGTGGATTCACAGTTACGTTAAATTGTTGGAGTGTCATTATTTCGAATGATATTCAATAAGCTTAATATTTACATAGCAGATTGCTTTGGAGTTCTTTTTAACCAAACAGTAAGCACAGAAAAAAAAAGTTTTGTCTGTCACCATTTTTGGCTAATAATTTCAAGAAAATAAAGTTATAAAAATTTTACGCCAAATTTACCAGTGATAGTGTAGGTTAATACTTCATTGTCTAGATCTTCTTTAATATTGACTTTATCATGGTGATCTGGGTCTTCATTTGGATGCCAATGTAACTGAATGAGAAAAAATGATAACAATAACCATATACTTTATATGTTTTTCTGAATACATGAATAATAAATCATTTTTCTATCAGTAACTGACAAATCGATTGGTAAAATACGTGATATATTTTACTGTTTAAAAGACGGTTGGTGGAGATTTATTCACTCACTGAAACACATTAAAGAGCCATTGAAAACTAGCTTAAATTGCACAAACAATAAACTCTAGTTTATAGCTTTTCAGGTATACGTACATGAAATTGCGCTCTAGTCGGAAGCATGTCCTACAATTATCATAATGGCAAGACTGAATTACTAAATTTGAGTTCAATGGTTATTACTAACAATACTAATCAGTTTACAAAAAGTACAAATACAACATAATGGCATCGATAATAACTCTCTCACTACTGTTAAATGGGATATTTTTATTACATAATTCGTTTAAAAGGATAGTGAAGCAGACATATTATTGACGTAAACAAAGTATCTTCCATTCAAAATTAATACTTTCATCATTAGAAAAAGGTAGTTGATCCTGATGACAAATGACAAGTTGTAAAGATGTTTTAAATGAATGATGACTTTGAAAAAGTAGTTAACAGCCAATAGTACAATTTACATTTTAATTAACTAATGAAAAATGGACTATTTTCTTTTTTATCAAGAGTTCACAGAATTTATGGTAAAGCTAAATGGTACTACAATCATTATTACTGGGTTGGTCTGGAACTGTTTTTTTATAGATAAATTAGCAGTAATGTTTGGAGGAGTGTAAACGGGTTAATTGTAAAAGAAATCAAAGTGTAACCAATAAATCAAACGACGATTTTAAATTTGTAAAAAAGAGGTAGGTAGCCGTGGGTTGAGAAGAGTTGAAAATTTTGAATGCGATTATCACTTAAATACAGACCTAAGTACTATGAAGAAACGTTATGTATTCATTAGAAATGCAATCTTTAAGGTAACTGGAAAGCATTGAGCTTATTTATTGAAGCAATTTGCATTATGATACCCTAATTGTAGTTAGTTTTATGTAAATACTTTCCCTTTACTATAGATGAAAGTCTTTTGGATATTAGTCATGTTAATAAATAGTACAATATTTAGTTCTTTAAAAAAATGTTTGTGTTATCTCGAAGACAAAAATTTAAAGGATTGTAATTTAAATATTATCAACTAAATCTTGTATTACTTATATATGTATTGTTCAACTCAATGAACAGAATCGACATTAGATCATAGAAGTTGAGTGTCGAAATTCTACACTAAAGCTTAAAAAAAGTATACTCAAGAGTGTACAAGGTATAGAGATTCGAAGCAAGTGTTGATATAATAAACTATAATTCTTATCATGTTAATGTTACTTCTTTAACTACGTTTAACCTGAATTCACTTCGTATTGTTTACTTGAATCTTCTCATTGATGTTTGGGACTGTAATTGATCAGTCTCTTATTGGCATGTATGTATACTGTGCTTATTGCTTCGATATTGCCTTAATTATTTAATTTGTTTTATTTCATGCCACTTTATTGTCACTGAGTAGCTTAAAATAAATTTACAAACAAAATCTAGAAATCAGCATGTTTTTTAATGAAATTTCAGAATAAACGTTAGTATGCATACTCTTCACTACGTATATATTTATGTTTATTATAACCATTGTTAAGAAAGTTTGATCATACAAGAAGAACAATCTAGTAACATTTCCTCATTAAAATGCTATTTTCTTGTTAAACTATTTCATTTTAATCTTTCCCCATTTCTATTTTTAATCTTTGAGCTTATATGAATTACAATAATAAAGCCATAATTTAATTGAATTATAATCAAACTTTGCAATGTAATTAGCATTGTTGCTGATGTAATGATATTACATTAAAATGAGGTTAATTTTAATTTTTACTTAAAAGCAAAATATATTCATTCAGGAAATTTATTAACATCTGATATAACTATGAAATTAAATATATAGAAGGTAGTATTTAAATAAATTTAAAAGTAATTGGAAACTATTTAAACGATAAAGTAAGAACTTTAAACTTGGATTAATTCTAATTTGGTTATTTATTCTCTGAAGAAATGACTTATACTAAGTCACGAAACGTCAAAAAATCTAATTTTTTACTCATTGGGATATTACAACCCGACCGTTGTTGCTACCTTGACGTGGTGGTCGGGCTTGCCTATCGTGATGAAGCAACCGAGCTATACTGGCTGGAACAACCGTTCCTCAAGGTCCTACCATGTCAGACAGGTCGGTTGAAGAGCGGTAAGACTAAAAGCATCAAACCCAAGGTCCGAAGGCGAAGTCATACTGCTGACTGTACAGAGGTGTGACAGCAGTAAGGTGTTTCCTTCAGACAACCAGCATGACAGCGATGCTGCCTTCCCACAAGGAGGGGTGGGGTTAGAAAAGGTCGACCCTAAAAATGCACACCTCGCCTTATCCCACGGATATCCGTCTCCGGCGGTAAGGTCTCAATAAGTACGGAGCTAACACAAAAATTACCCATAACAAGGTTGTGTGTGACCGACCTCAGTGGCAGTGTCTGTCATTGAAAGGCGTACCACAGAAGTACATAAACCTTGTGAAGGCTCTTTACTCGAACACTACTAGTCGAGTCAGGGCTTATGGCGAACTGTCATCTACTTTTGCAACCTCAAGTGGTGTCCGTCAAGGCTGTCCACTTTCTCCATTTTTGTTTAACTTCATCATAGACCTATTGATGGAAATAACACTCTCGTCGACTGAATTCTCGGGTATTGATCTCCTTCCAGGAGGTCCACTTATGGACTTAGAATACGCAGATGACATAGTCCTGTTTGGTGAAGACGCTGACAAAATGCAGAGTCTTCTGGTAGCACTAAGCAACAATGCCAGAATGTTTGGGATGCGCTTCTCTCCCTCTAAATGCAAGTTGTTGCTTCAGGACTGGTCTGCGCCAACACCTGAACTAAGGATAGGGAGTGAAGTAGTCGAAAGCGTTGACAACTTCACTTATCTTGGAAGTGTGATCAGCCCTAATGGGTTGGTATCGGACGAAATCTCAGCACGGATTCGAAAAGCTCGTTTGGCTTTTGCCAACTTGCGTCACCTTTGGCGAAGGCGAGATATCCGTCTATCAATAAAAGGACGAGTATACTGCGCGGCAGTTCGTTCTGTTTTAATTTACGGCAGCGAAACATGGCCCTTAAGAGTAGAAGACACCCGTAAGCTACTAGTATTTGACCACAGATGCCTTAGAAATATCGCTGGCATCTGCTGGGATCACCGGGTAAGTAATAGCGAGGTTAGACGCAGGGTATTAGGGAATGATGGTAAATCAGTTGATGAGGTTATGAATCTTCATCGACTGAGATGGTTGGGCTACGTATTACGTATGCCTGAACACCGATTACCACGACGTGCAATGCTAACCGGTGTAGGGGATGGTTGGAAGAAAGTTAGGGGCGGCCAAACCAAAACGTGGCATCAGTGCCTGAAGTCACTAACTTCTAGTCTGAGCCATGTTGGTAGATGCAGACTACTTGGTTGGGGTCCGCGTGACTATCGTAATCAATGGTTGGAGACTCTTGGTGACATGGCTCAGAATCGATCACAATGGCGTCGGTGTATACACTCCCTGACTAAAATCACTTCATATCTTTCTTTCTACGAACTAATTCTTTCTTCCTATACTATATCCTTATTGCAACCTTTGACCTAACCACTCCTGTGAATCCGGTGTTCATCTTGCTGTGCTAATGAGGTATGGCAACCTGGACCGATGCACATATGTGCCTGGTCCTACGTTGTAGCTGACTGACTGACTGACTATTTATTTATAATAAAGTAAGAAGAAAAGCAAGATGAAATAATGAAAGAAAAAAGAGGAAAGAAACACATGATCAATTGTTTCAATTAATCTACATGTTTACATTATTAGTCATTACAAATTGTAGTCTTCATTGTAGTCTTGTTTTACAAATACCAAAATGATTATTTTATTTTAAATACTAATTACCTTTTTTCATTACATAATGTTCAGAATCAATATTGGATAGACAATAGAAATACTGTTTTGTGGTTATTGTCCAATTTTTTTAGTTAATGTACATTACGGATTGACAATCAATAAAAAACTATGAAGCATTTGTTAGCTTTTTTGTTGTAATTTAAGAATGTATTCACGATTTTCCTTAGTATGTTGAATGTATATTAACCACACTAGACTTCAATTGCAATGGTGTGAATTTAGAAAGGGTCTTATCACACATTTTAATGAGTAGGTGACTTAGTTTGTATAGAGAATATTTAGAAAAACGTAACAACCAGTAATTTTGAGAGATATTTTCGTGTCAACGAGTAGTAGCAAGAAGTAAGTTTTAATTTAATCGGATAATGTCTTTGGGTTATCATCAGTGAGTAACCTAGACAGTTACACGAAGAGTAATAACTGCATAAATTTAATCGTTATAAATATTTATAATACGTTTGTTAGTTCAAAATCAGCTCGCTAACATGCTTACAACACGAGACTTTCAAAAACATGATAGTCCTGTTTTCAGAACTTGTTTAGTCTTAGAATATACGATAGATTTTCTTTATTCAGGAAATGAAATCTCTTATTTGTATGAACAAACATGACAGAATGGGTTCAATTGATTAGAATCTAAACATCCACAATTGTTATTTCAACCTAATTTAATGACTAAGCCTAACTAATATTCTCTTCTCAGGTGAATGTCCCCTAAAATATTAAATTATATGATAATGAAGAGAGTTATGTATTGCAATTTATGTTGCAGACGTTGTATAATATATAGTTAACATATGACTGCTAATAAAATTCTTTGACAAAGCATGAAAAGGTAAGAACAAACCCTAAATGGTACAACTGAAACTTAGTGAACATAGAACGGAAAATAAAAACGACGCAAGTAAAATAACATAATGAATTCCCCAACTGATTATTCAAACGACAAGACAAAAATTCAGCTCGCTTACCTGTTAACACTGTAAAAGGTATGTTTTGAAAAAATTGTGTCAAAATTAGGGTTGTTGACGGTGAACCAGCTAACAAGTATTTTCTAGCTACATACTATTATTGCATCTAGTGTCAATTAACAACAAAACTATCCTCCAAAAACTATTTTAAAAGCATTTTACCAATCAATGAATAACACCTCAACTAAACCTGTTATTTAATAAAACTTGAGCAAAATTCTGGTCTACTTACCAAGAAATTTTGTTCTGGACCACCATTAAATCCTTGTGTCCAAGAAACTGTTAAACTTGTACTAGTTGCATTCAATAGACGCGGTGAACTTGGAAGATCAGGTTGAGTCGGACGTATTAAATCCACACGACCAATATCTTCGCCAACTAAATTTTTTACCTATTTCAATAAATGTTTTTATCAGTTTTAATTAAAATAAAATAGATTAGTTTTTTATTGCGTAATATTAATGCTAAATAATAAAAAATTAAAAGTTTATTAGCATGGTGATTGGAGGGAGTTATTAGGAAACCCCGAGCCTAGGTTTCGTGCTACTTGACACACGTCAGCAAGGTATACCTGTTATCTTGAGGGAATTGATGCTCCCTGATGGATTCGATCCTGTGTCATCCAGCTTCACAGTCAGAGATGTACCACTGAGCTATCTAGGCCGCGACTGAGCTTCTTAATGTTGAATCTTATCGACCAGGAACCGGATATATATGACATTGATCACCACTCGATGATCAATCAATTATAAATTCGATTATTTCTGTGAACCGGAAAATCAGATTACTGTTATTATTAAATAAATCGATCTTCATTATCGAAGAATTGGAACAAACCAGCAGTTTGAAATAATTTTAATAAATTAACTTTAAAAATTAATTATTCAGCAAAAAATATGTCGTTTTTTTATTAAAAGTTTAATCAAAAAATTCATTGTATTTTTAGTCATAACTGTCTGTTATGTATGAAGTCAAAAAAAGATTTAATGTGAATTGGACAAAATCAATAGTGGAATGTTCACTTCACTTTACACACTCATCTTGCTTAGTCAATATTCACTATAGTTACTGAAAGTAAATTGTGTGAAGTATAAAATGATCAACAATAGAAAATGATTATGTGACCTAAGAAACATATATATGTACGTATCTGCGAAAGTTTCACAATATTCCGTTTCTAGATGTATCGTACTGTTTAAATTACTACAATCTCCACAAAACCCCTTCTGATACTAACCAACATATTCTCACTGGTGACTGACTTCAAGAGGTTTATCCTGGAGTTCTAGTGAGATGTAGTGATCAGTGGAGTTCAACCGGGTCAGTTGTGAGGTAGTAACTCACTGATGACAATGGTGGATGTGTCGCTCAATTTTGTGGATTGGTTGAAGTTAGACATCAACACAATTGGATGACGGCTCATTTGTCTAGTGGTCAAGCGCTCGTGCACGAGACTGATAGGTCCCGGATTCAAATCCCGCGAGCGGGTCGTGGATGCGCATTGTTGAGGAGTCCCACGATAGGACGAAACAGTCGTCCAGTGCTTGTAGGTTTTCCATGGTGGTCTAGCTCAACTGACTCATGATCTCAACTGTTTAAATTATTAGAATCTCCACAAAACCCCTTCTGATATTGTATTTTTTTACTAATTGTAAATCTTTATACCGAATTGTAAAACATTTAGATGCTCCAGTTTTATTGAATATGATATTAAAGAAAATTTGGGGTGAGATCGTTTCTTAAGTGAAGATCGATGAACTCTATTGGTAGTAACAAGATAAATATCTGTTTCGTGAATTTTGTTGTGTTCATTTACTGCTGAATATGATAATCTTAAATGAAATATGAATGAGATCATAGGTATGTAATTTGTCCATAAACTCCCATATAGAAGGTAAGAACAATATTCCGGAAAGTGGATAAATTATACATGATTTTTACTCAAAAATCTGCCATATGTATACCTAAAGACGTAGACTGAAAAGCTTAGCGTAAAAAATAATGAACAATTTTAATCTGTATTTAAATGAATTAAAACCTGTCTGAAGTATATAAAGTTTTGAAGACTTAGTCATATATTAATAATCTTAAAGTTATTCAAATGAAAGGATAACAAAGTGTTGCTAAAAATATTTAATTTAATAAAAAATGTAGTTATAGATATTCAGACCTATAATGAAGGATTTTCATTATAGGTCTTTTACAGCTACTAAAGTGCTCTTAAAAATTAAAGTAAACACTGTTTAGCCAAGCAACTTACAGTCTACTTTTGTATAAACTGTTTTAATTATACAGAGCCCTCACAAGTATCACCTAGATATATTGAAGCATTAAGTTGAATAGTAACCGTAGTAATTAGGAATAACAAATTAATAAAGGCTACGTTTTGCATTCCATGTTGTTTAATAGAGTAAGTAAACAGGGTTATATGTAATATTGATTGAAATTAAAATTTGCATGACATTACCATGTATACAAGTGTTTTACTGACCTCTAACTAACCATTGAAGGATAACATAACTAAAATAAAGTAAAATATGTCTGAAATAGTGTGCGACTAATATTGTTTTGTCACGTTGCTTGGTGCTTTGATTATATATCATTGCAACATTTAGTTAACATTAGTCTTGTTACTTATGTATTGATGGGATAATGTTTAAAATTCAGTTTTTAAGTGTTAGATAACACATTCGAACCCAGTACAACCCTTTAAAGTAGTAACAATACCTTTCACATAAAGTGTACATTTAAAATCAAAGAAGAGGAATCTGTACACATTTACTGGGATGCATCACATTTAAAATACATTTTTTTGTCAGTGCCAAAAGTACTAAGGTAGAGATTACAAATTGAATGATACTATAATCTTAAAGCATAAAACTTTTGTGATGACAAAAATATAAACAGTAGGCAATGGACACATTCATCAGTAATAAATATTTTTAAGCATGTAACATCATACGATATGAAGAAAGTATTTCAGAAAAAACTCATTTCAAGCCTTTCTTTTATGTCACATCCAAGTGTTCTGATGGGAAAGATTTTTTTCAGCATTGAAAAATAATATTTTATAATAGTACATATATCTTCAGTGGTAAATAGCAAACGCCCATTATAAAATGACATAAAATCTCCAATTTATGCTTAACATTTTGAGTCGTTGCTTTCTTACGTAGACAACAAATGATAAGAGAAGGGGATTTGGTAAAAATCCATTTTACATGTAAACTAATAGGTTTAACCGATTTCACACGAGATTAAAATATAGTTTGAAGAGTAATAACAGCTTGAGAAGTTTCATCATAGTGAGATACACTGATATACATAAGAGGAATATTGTCATGTTCTCTCGAGGCTATACAGTAATGAGTACTAAGTGATGATCAAAAGAGAGAAACGAATTTGAAGGAAGTGTACTTATTTAAATTAGAAAGGATGAATTCAGAAGTGTAAATGAAATGAGCTTGTTAATGTCTGTGAATGTTGAAATGACCCGTAATCAAATATATGCTCTGATCAGATTGAATCATTAATAGATTTTTTAAATTTATTTTTAGAAATATTCCAATAAATCCAATCAGTATCGGAATAGACTTTGTATATAGTAAGTTATAATAACAACTAAACGCTTTGATTTATCAGTGATTCAAAAACATAGTGAGAAACAGTTATATATTGTGTAGTGTAAGCCATTTACAAAACTGTTTGTAAGTAGTGTGTTGCGGAACGTGGAGTCGAAGTTACAACAGTTGTCAGACAGAGGGAAGAGTTCAAGTACATCAAAAGTACAGAATTGACAGACTAAACGAGAAGGCAGTTAAGATGGTGGAACAATTGAAGGTTGTGTGTATGTATTATGTAAATATTTTGTAACGTCTCACAACTAATTGATATTCCTTCTGATTATTGCCTTCTTTTACAAGTGAACTGAAATAAATGGTGAAGAAGTTATGAATTTTGTAAAACGTCATCTTTCTATGAAGTACTGTTTTAATTGATAAAGGTTTGTTCATGAACTGACATTAGCTGAAAAAGACCTAATGGCCGAAATGCATTAAGCAGCACTCTTGTTCTAGCCTTGGAATCCCTAATAGGATAGAAGGAGAAGAGTTACACAGAAACGTAACTCTAAACATTTATATATTGTGTGAAATAAGTTCAATGTAAAATTACAATACTTTTGACTTCATTATTATGATATGAACAGTAAATAATTTGAAATACTGGTTACTAAATTGTGTTATCAGTAAAAAATATTCTAGAAATGTATCCATGTCAAAACGATTGGTGTATGTGCAGATTAAGTTTCGTAGTTACTCTCAGTACTTTCATTTTACTAAAAGACTGTTTTTCTCATATGTTTCTTTTATACCCTTTGTTAATCTAACTATGTGATGTGTTATTCAGTATACAATAAATATGATGGAGTTTATGATATATAATCAAATTGTTGTATTTGTACAATCAGTGGGCTATTCAATGAGAGATATAGACTAAATATAGACATAATTTGATTATGAAATTTATTTTGATATTTAACTATGAATATGAAAACAAATATGAGTTGTATAACTTCATTATTTGATTAATGAAAAAACAATAAGCTTTAAAGAGATAACACTACAGTGATTACATAATCTGGCGTAGACAGTTCAAATAAAGATTATTTTATTTTAGAAAACAACTTTAATGACTATCCGAAGTTTCATATATATATATTCATCTATTCTTCAATAAGATAAACTAGGCTCATAATAATACTTGCTCATAAAAAAGTAGGACCCTTTATTTTCTTTAATCCCAAGTGTAATAATTTTAATACATAATGAACACAGAAGTAATTTAATATTATGTTTATATAATAAATTATAAATTAAGGCTAGTCATTATCTTTATTTTGGCGCTTAAAACATCTGTTCTGTACTAAAATTCCGTCAACATATTTGACATACTATAAGTAATTTACCATATGGTACCATAATAACTAAAAAGGTATTTTTATAATTTTCAAAGAGAATATAAATAGTTAGTCTGGATTAATTCAACGATTTCCCCCCCCCCAAAAAAAACAAACTTCGATTTCTAGTCAAGCAGAAAACGTTTTAGAAGAAGCAAAAAAAGAACAAACAAACAAATTGGATATCTTAGTTGAAATAAACTAATATTATTGATAAAATCATTTAATAGTCCATGGATATGAAACCAGGCAACAATAGTTTCAAAAGACTTAGTTAAATGATCTCTTTTTATTATAATCACAATAATGTCGATATATTTTATTATACAAATTAAACTTACTTTACAAAAGTACCGACCCAAATCAACTTCTTGTGGTTGTATCAAATATAATATTGCATGATATAATCCTGGACGAATAGATTTAACTACTGAATGAAATTGACCTCCTTCAATTAATGTTAAATTAGCTGGTTCTCTTAACCAATTTACTTCTGGATTAGGTTCTGCAGCAATTACACATGTTAATCTGGCATGAGCTCCTTTTACAATAGAGATTAGTTGATCAGAAATTAAAGTTGATTGAGTAACACTGATAGTTTTATTCTTACTTGAAACTATATTGGGTGCAGCTCTTGACCATCTTGTTACTGGTACTATTCTTGGTGCAACTACAATAACAAACAACGAATTATTGTTAATGTGAACGGATTGATAAAATAGATAACATTATTTAGGCACAAGTATATTTTATTAGATTTTTGGAAAAAAAGGTATTAATTCTTTTCTCTGGACTGTTCACTCCTATGCAATATTTCAGAACAGGATTCTTCTATATTTAGCATATAGGAAACATGGTTGTGGCGAAAATAATTTCCCAGTTTCTCAACTGTGTATATTGTGTTTGATATTAGTAACTTAAAATCAGCGATTAACGTTTTAGCTTCTATAACTCTCTGATATGAGAGCTCAGTTTTATAAATTGATCATTAATTATTATTAACAGGTAGTTAGATTAAATGGAATAAATTTCATTAACATTTTTATATCAGTTAGAAACTTACATGGATAAGTAAGATCAATCGTACGAACAGCTGGTGATCCGATTCCATTATCCATGTTACACTGATATCGCCCAACATCATTTGGACTTAAATCGTATATTGTAAGTGTACTAGTCATTACACCAGGAGCTGATGACCAACACTTTGCATAATATTTAAATCCAACATTCCATTCACCCTATTTGATAGCAAATGTACATAAATGTTGTTCATTGAGTAGACAAATCATATCAAAGCGTATTGAAAGAGGACACAACTAATTTTCCAGAGTTAAGTCAAAAAGTTATGTTTTTATACCATACAATATTATACGAAATGATAATGAGGAATAAATTTATCTTGTTTGCCATATTCTGAATATTAAACAATAATCTCCTGATGATTTAAATGATTCCAAGACAAACAAACAAGCTTCTTGAGAAAATTTAAAATGAATATAACATTCTGTAAAAACATAAAAATGGTTATGTCATGGCTTATATCATTCAATCAGTTATAAGTGGACATGTATTATTTTGAATGTTCAGATTATATTTTACCGTTCGTAATCTATTACGAAACAGTCGGTAGAAAGCGTCCAATCCTTCCTCGTAATTAGGATGATAAGAAAAGTGACACTACGATCAAATATACGAAATAAGATGAGTCCATTTTTGAATTTCAGGGTTCGAACTGAAGAGTGTTATTTTTTCCAATTTTGTATAGGTCATGAGAAAAAAAATTAATAAGATATCTTACGAATAATTCACTTGGTATTGTTTAACTTGTATCTTCCCATTGATATTTTAGGACTGAAATTGATCAGTCTCTTATTGGCATATGTGCATACTGTGCGTATGCCTCGATATTGCCTTAATTTACAAGCATTATAAGCAAAGATGGATAGTGGCTAGCAGTGGAATCCAGGACGCGCGTTTCGTCCTATTTGGGACTCGTCAGCTGGATGTACCTTCATCTTAAGGTTGATGTTCACTCAGGTACTGAGTTCGAGTCCCAGAGTGAACACGAACTCTGAGTTGAAGGTACATCCAGCTAACGAGTCCCAAACAGGACGAAACGCGCGTCCTGGATTCCACTGCTAGCAACTATCCATCTTTGCTTATAATATCTTACGAATAGTTGATAATTCTTAAATATTATTTTCACTATATCCAAAACGATTATAAACACAAGTATCCGACTGTTATAAAATGTACTTTCTAGCCAAAATACTGACCAATTAGTGTTTAGAAATCCGAAACACTGTTTACTTTAGACTTCAAGTAATTACATTAGACATAATGAATATATACACTGATTTCATATATATATACTTAGAAGTATTTACACCTATGGGATAATTTAGATTAATTCAAGTGAATCTATGTTAACTAACAGTTTGATAATATAAACTAAAGTGAAAGCAAACTTATCATATTTAAGTTTAAAAAAAATAAGGAAGAATAAACTAACTTTTATTTATTTCCCAAAGTGTACGCATACAGACATATTAGATAAACAAATGAATTAGAAATATATTAAAAGTAATAAAAGGTAAATGTTCAACTGGTAGGTCAATACAAAAAAAGAAGAATAATCTGCTGATAAACTGTCCAATTTTTTTTTGAAGATAAAATGAAGGTACTTATAGTTAAGGTATGAATGAACAATAAATAAAACCCCAGAATCTAAGTATGTTCCATCTCTACTTTTATACAATAGACTTTAATCAGTAGCCTGTATATCATTCTTTTTTCTATAAAAATACATAAATTCTGATAAAATTGTATACATTTATATATATATATGTATATATGAGCATATTTATGGACAAAGCTATATTTAGCCAACTGTTTTACCTATACAAACCATAGTTTATTGAAGAATATCAATGCATTTCACTCTTCTAAGGCATTTATTTATAAAATATCAGTAGTATATATATATAATTACAAAAAAGTTCCAAAGTATATTATACATTGATGGATTAAAATGAACCATTCTACTTCTATTGTGTAAATGGTTATATTATTTTATTTATCTTCTATCGACTTCATTAATCTATAATCTATAATCTATAATTAATTAGTTTAAAAGACCGAAAAGAAAATGTAAAAGATTATTTGAATAAACAAAAAATACAAGGTTTAATGTTAATTTATACAAACACCAATCCACTATTAATTTAGTTAGAATTTGTAAACAGAAACAATCTTAATGTGAAGGAAAAGCAGAAAAAAATGTGGATGTAAGTTAATGACGAAAGAAAGAAATATATGATGAGAAAGAGTAATGGTTCTTTGAAAAGATCCATCTTTAGAAAACAAACATGGAATGGCCAGCTAACCAACTTCTATAGCTGGGTTCCATTAACGCGGCTAAACTGCGAATAACCTTCACCAGTAGGAACTTATTTTCTGTATCCGTAAAAGATAAGCTTTTGCGTCTGGTCGCCTCCATGTGCATCTACCAGTTCACCTGCTCTTGTGGAGCAAGGTACATTGGCCGTAGCCAGTGCTCGCTTTCAACTCGGATACGGGAATATATTCTAACTCGGTTCTATAAGGGTGAAAGGAAAGCAGTTAGAAGTTCTATACTGGAACACCTAATCGACTATAACCATTCTACACATCCACAAAGTGATTTTAAGGTTGTTTATATGATTCGTTCAAATCTACCCAGATTCCTTCGTATTCAACTCTTAAAAAAATAGCCGAAGCTCTTACCATCCAGGAGCTTAAACCAGAACTATGCGTACAAAAGAAGTACGTCTTATCGTTATCATTACCTTGGCCTTAATTATTTTGATCATCCTATTATTATGTCATGAGGTCCTGGGCTACAAGAAGCACCATCACAAGGAATGGATCACTGTTGATACACTGGATAAGATTCAGAAAAGGAGGAACAAGAAAGCAGCAATCAATACCAGCCGAACAAGAGCAGAAAAAGCCAAGGCACAAGCTGAATACAAAGAAGTAAATAAACAAGTGAAGAGGAGCATCAGAAGTGACGAACGTCAATATGTGGAAGATTTAGCAACGGCGGCGGGAAAGGCTGCAAGAGAAGGAAACATGAGACAACTGTATGACATAACAAAGAAACTCTCTGGAAATCACCGTAAACCAGAACAACCAGTGAAAAGCAAGGAAGGCAAGGTAATCACCAACATTGAAGAGCAACGAAACAGGTGGGTAGAACACTTCAATGAACTCTTGAATCGACCAGCTCCACTGAACCCACCCAACATCGAAATGGTACCCACGGATCTCACAGTCTATGTTGGCCCACCAACAATTGAAGTGACTAGCATGGCTACCAGACAAATCAAGAGAGGCAAGGCAGCAGGACCAGACTACATTCCAGTAGGAGCACTGAAAGCAGACGTAGTGGTAACTGCAGGGATACTCTACATTCTCGTCAATAAGATTTGGGATGAGGAACAATTACCAACAGACTGGAAAGAAGGACTTCTGATCAAAATACCGAAGAAAGGCGATCCCAGCAAGTGTGATAACTACAGGGGCATCACTCTTCTCTCAATACCGGGAAAAGTCTTCAACAAGGTATTGTTAAACAGGATGAAGGACTGCGTAGACGCCCAACTTCGTGACCAACAGGCAGGATTCCGTAAGGATAGATCGTGTACAGACCAAATCGCAACTCGACGGATCATTGTGGAAGAATCAATTGAATGGAATTCATCACTCTACATCAACTTCATTGACTACGAAAAGGCATTTGATAGCGTGGACAGAACAACACTATGGAAACTTCTTCGACACTACGGCGTGCCTCAGAAGATAGTCAATATCATAGAGAACTCATATGATGGATTACACTGCAAAATCGTGCATGGAGGACAGTTGACAAAGTCGTTCGAAGTAAAGACCGGTGTCAGGCAAGGTTGCTTACTCTCACCCTTTCTCTTTCTCCTGGTGATCGACTGGATCATGAAGACGTCAACGTCTGAAGGGAAGCGCGAGATACAATGGGCATCTAAAATGCAGTTGGATGATCTAGACTTCGCAGACGATCTGGCCCTCCTATCGCAATCGCAACAACAAATGCAGGAGAAAACGACCAGTGTAGCATCAGCCTCAGCAGCAGTAGGTCTCAACATACACCAAGTGAAAAGCAAAATTCTCCGATACAATACAGGATGCACCAATCCAATCACAATTGACGGAGAAGATTTGAAAGATGCAAACCCTGACATATCTGGGCAGCATCATTGGTGAACATGGTGGATCTGATGCAGATGTGAAAGTGCGGATCGGCAAAGCAACTGTCAACCAACACAAAGGTCAGAATTTTCAATACAAATGTCAAGACAGTTCTACTGTATGGGGCAGAAACCTGGAGAACTACGAAATCCATCATCCAGAAGACAAAAGTGTTTATTCTCAGTTGTCTACGCAAAATGCTTCAGGTCAGTTGACTAGACACTATAAGCAACAACCAACTGTGAGCGAGAACAAACCAGATCCCAGCGGAGGAAGAAATCAAGAAGAAGTGCTGGAAGTAGATAGGACACACATCGAGAGAAGCACCCAGTTGCGTCACAAGACAAGCCCTCACATGGAATCCTCAAGGCCAAAGGAGGAGAGGAAGACCAAAGAACACATTACACCGGGAAATGGAAATAGACATGAGAAAAATGAACAAGAATTGAATGGAAGTAGAAAAGAAGGCCCAGGACAGAGTGGGTTGGAGAATGCTGGTCATCGGCCTATGCTCCATTAGGAGTAACAGGCGTAAGTAAGTAAATTATTATCATTATTATTATTGCATTCCCCCTTCATTTATGTCTTATATTCTGATTATTTTATTTATAAATACTCATCATATCACCCTATTTTTTACATCTCTGTGACCTTTATTTATTATAACAAAAACATTTTAATTATCTTATTATATTCACTAAATCTATTGTTGCCATTCGTATTACGTAATCTAGTATTATAACCTTTTTTGTTACGTCATGATTAACTGTGTTCACATTTCCTCACGGAATTAGTACTTTTACAAAAACAAAATTTTCATATATATACGATTGTACAGCTTGATAATAAATTCGTTGAAAAGAGATCCCTTCGCTGAACTTCGTGTTTTAATTTTAATGTTAAAATGAAAATTATCTGTCAAAAGAAATATATAAATTCAAGGTAATACTTAGTAATAACAGTAAAATATAAATATGAGTGCTAAATTATTAACTGTATACGTTATACAATAAATATTGATGATTATAATAGATGGTCTAAACTCAATAGGATTGGATAGAATACAATTTGTATATTATTGGCTCAAAATCAACCTCTATATTTATTTCAAACACAAATTTAAATGATAAAAGCTTAATCGAAATCAAATAACAAGAGAACTTTTAGTCAGCGGTATCATAAAGACATTGTAAAAATACTGTAGATTGATATCGATTCGCGCTTATTTAAATTCATAGCTACTGTGAAGTAGAGAGTAATTATCTCGCTATTTAACATATGCGAACAATGTCATGCTGTAAAAATAAAACTATGAGAGTACATGATGAAACAATTGTTTCACAAGTGAAAACTAATATTTACTTCTTAACTGAAGATATTGTACTAAAAACCACAGTAAACAACAATCATGGACTGCAGTTTGGTTCATAGCTCAAACGATCGTCATTAAATATATTCTATTAGCATCCATCTCTTTTTTAAAATTAGTAGATCTAAGTAATACTGAATTTCTACTCAAGTAATTCAGATCTCTAATGTTTAATTAGAGTGCGAATAAATTATATTCAACAATAAAACATTCTTCTCTCAATACATCTTCATCAGGCATACTAGACTATATGATGATACCAGATACTTAGGGCGCTAAGGATTTAGCTAACACTTAAAAAAGGTTATCCTCTTATGACTTAATCCATTTCATCTCTTACAACGTGTTTCTAAAGATGTCTTGGATCTATCTTCGTGTGTATTTTTCTCCATATGCAAAGAGATTATGCAGAACACTCATTTTGTGGGAGAATTTTATGCATGAGTAATTCTCGCCTGTTGATGTCTTAGAGGATTTCGTCATCATAATTATTTATTTATTTATTTAAAAAATATTCAGATGATGTACCCTGGCGGCCTGCTTGAATATCTGGGCTATCTGTTCCTGCCATCTAGATATTTCAACAAGTTTTCTGTTTCCTTGTGTGTTTTAACGGATCGTTATATCAATTAATTGCATAACATATTCAGGTGCGTTTGTGAAAAGTTTACGACCTTTCGCTCTACAAGTTACAAAAATTCACAACACCGTTATGGCTGGCAATGTGCATTGAAAAGAATGAATATTACACAGATGTCGAATTCTGAAATGCTAATATCTAACTGGCTATCACTCAATATTTATCGTTAATATCGACCAAGAAATATGAAATGGGAACTCACTGAAATGCTTTGCGCCGAGAATTCTATATTGTACCAAAAATATAATAAAGCTAGTAATAATAGGCTACAAAACGGTTCGTTTATTTTAGTAGACTAGATTTTGTTAAATACAAAGTTTGGATGTGTAATTTGAAACTGATACACGTTATCTATAATGAAGTAGACGACAATATCAAAGACAAGCTGGCTTTTCAAACCACCTGAAATAGAGATTCGGTAGCGCTATATACGTAACTGTAAAATGGATCAAAGTATGTTAAGAACTTACTTTATCACAATGAATCCCGGCAGCTGAATCAGCCTGAGAAGTATGACTCTTTGTAGAAAATGATGCTCGGGAGATTGAATTTCTGTAGATATTTTCTGCGGAATCATAACCAATCAGTGTGTTTGTTAAACGCCTCCAGCGGACAGCATTTGTCGTGGGTGTGGGATTAGCTTCCGATTGACAAAATAATTCAGCCTTTTTACCAGAAACTGTCACATTTACTGAAGGGGAACCAATTAATTGCGGCCCATCTTGTAATATAATTGATGACGGTTATCAATTGATCAGAGAACAATGGTTAACAATAAACAATCGGTTACGTAATTATGGTAAACAAGATATGAATATTTATAACATACGCTCAATTAGCAAACACCTTGAGAAACGACTTTTTGAAAATATGGTTATTCTACAACATTGAAAACTGATATGTATTACCTACCTAAGGATTTTCATATCTATCATCTACAACAAAATATGAAATATGATTGTTCACAGAAATTTACTACTTTATAAACTGTTTCACTTTATAAATATGATAACATTTGAGTGGGCTGTAATGCATGTCTTTGTTGTAAGTATTTCATTTTCAAACTAATTTACTGTTATTTTGTACACAACGACCAATATGTTTGGGTAGATGTAACAATTTAAAAGGAATCTATTTAGCTATAAAGAGTATTGAAAAATGTCTTGTGAATAATTGAGAACAACTCAAGTTATTTTTATAAGGATTTAAAAAATAAGTTTCCCATGTAGCCAGTTTTTCTGCGATTTAATATGAAATGGTCAGATGTTTCACTGTACTATGGTGTAAGATGATCAAATGGCTGTTAGAGTTGCCAAGCCTACACCTTTAATTATAAGAATCAAGATATTACGTTTGACTTTTATTCGATAAGTATTTTATGTAAATTTTGTTTCAATCGAATTGACACCACGATATCTGAATACGAAAATGCAGAACCTAATTTTTTTATTTGTGTGCTTTTTTTAATTTCGGTCACTGGAATAGTTAAAACTACAAATATGGAGTAAAATTAAAAATGCAAGTCTTAATATTTTGTCGGAGTATAATTTAACCGTGGTATGCAATAAATACACAGTTTTAACGATAACTCTTTTTATGAACAATATAGAGATAATGCATCTAAAAATATTGATTTTTTTGGAAACGTCATAATTTGAAGTTTGACCTCCTCTTTTATCATACACTTATTCATCGGTTCTCTCCGATACGTAACCTATTTTATTAAATAAATTGGCATTACGCTGTTTGGTTGCAAAATTAGGGCAAATGATTTTGATTAATCAGATATCTTGCTTTAAAATGGCATAAAATAAAAGGAAAGATATGGCATCTAAATTTATCTTCCACTCTAGTCGTGACTGCATAGCATTCTTCTTCCATAGAACTAACAAGACATCTAGGATTAAGTTGTTTTGATTATCAAAAACTTAAAAGATGACATCACGAGTCAATTAAAGACAGACCATTATGGAAAACTTGCTAACAGTGGACGACCATTTCATCCTATTCTGCAACTCCTCAGCAGTGCTCATCCATCTCAACCCGCGAGATTGAAACCGAGGACATATCGGTCTCGCGCGCGAACGCTTAACCTCTAAACTATTGAACCAACATTCACGAAACTGATCCACATGTCCATCATGAATTTCTTGTAAGTTAATGATATACCTATTTTACTTTTAAGTTATATAGTGACAAATAATCAGTAAGTTTTAAAAATCACTCCACAGAAACATTTTAAAGTTTATTTAACACTATATCATTAAATATATCAGTAAAATTATTAATTTCAAAGCAATTCTTCAGTTTTATTTATCATTATTATCTCCTAACTGGAAATCTTTTGAAACAGCATCTAATGTGATTAAAATTCTTTTCCAACAATAGAAAAAAAAGAAAAAAATATGAATCTTAGTGATATCCTATGGTTTATCAATTAATAGTTAAAAATCATTTTTTCCTTAACAACAAATTACATTTTATAGATTTAATATTAATGTATTACATCATTGTGAATATTGTAAAAAAGAAGAAACAATATTATGTAATAAATAAATAATTTATAACTTACAAGTTACATTTAAAAAGAATGTAAATTCTTTACTCCCTAGAGCATTAGTTACAATCAGTGTGTAATTGGCCATATCTGATCGTTTAACCGGATGAATAAATAATTTGGTTGGTTGTACGATTAAACGTTGATTTAAATCTTCAATAGAATATGATTTAGAACTTTTATTAACTTCTTCATTTTTGAATGAATTCAATATTTTAATTGGATTATTTGATAATGGAAGTGGTATGCCATTTCTAAACCATGATGTTTTACTTAATGATGGATTAGAAATAGGCTCTAAATCTAAATCAAGTGATCCACCTGAAGGAAATTGAAAATGTAACAAATTTATGAAATGATTTCATTTTAATTCACTTTTGTTATGACACAAATTTAGCATAAACTAAAAGATTTATTTCATACGTTCAATTTATGGTCACAATAACAAAGTCGAAGAATGCTTATAGATCTAAACAGTTGGAAAAGGTAGTGGAATCAAGCTGTTTATGCCATTCAAATTAGTAAGAAAATATTATTGAAGACTGGTCATTTCAAATGTAATTTTACTCAGAACTAATCGTGATAGTGTTAGATGGATTAATCGAATACAATCGAGTACAAAAATCGATAGCGGATGTTTGGCAAATAGTGATAGTTTCATGCATGTCTTTTGGATTCAGGGAACGTCTAACTCTAAAAATAAAAATAAAAATTCAAAAACCTGTACGAAATATATTTGTTGTCTATAAAATTATTCTCTTGGCTATTCTGAATAAATATCAAATTCGGTTGCACAATGTAGTTCAAACTTTTGTTCACATGTAGAATTTTGAAGAACGTTGCACGATTGTGGAGACTAGTGACAAATTCATTTGACTTAGCAGGAGGATAACCATTTATTCTCGTAATTATAAGAACAATGTTCAGTATATTGTTATTGATTTCTTCTAAACAGAAACTTATAATTAACACAGTAGGTTAAACCTTACTATTGCATAATCGATGTAATGAGAATAACAAAATTGTGATATGTGAAACAAATCCAATCTTTTTTTGACGAACGTGATCACACTTTATTTTATGAAACATATGAGGTATATTTGACCTAAGAAATCAATAAATAAGTTTGTCACAGTGTATGCTCTCACAGAAACAACCTAAATATATCAAGATGAAGACAATGGTGAATTCACCTGAAACATTGTATATACCAAATAGAACACCAATCATTGTTTGAAGAAAACTAAAGGACCTGAAATAGTAAGCTATGAAGACGATACCTAATAAATGAAACTAGTCGCAGAATTTAGAATAAGTTGATTTAGGAAGAAATACTAGTTACATTTAACCAGTTATGGTGGTATTTCCAACCCATTACAAATATTTTACTATGATAGTTTATTTTCACTACATCTTTTATAAGTTTACGTAAGTGTTTGTAAATATTGCTGTCATTAAACATTGTAATTGTTGATATAGTATTTTGGATGTTTATTGCTGAAGTAAATGATATCTCTGAGGTAGCAGCATAATATGCTCAGTACATGACTACTGACTCGCTTAGTAACAATAGCATAATTTGTCTAACACCTATACCTAATAGCCCCCACCAATTTTTAGATATCATTCGACACACGATTTACGATAAATTCATTGCTAAGGTTTGATTTCTGTCTTCTCTTGATGTTTGTGATAAGAACTGTTTCAAAAAACTACGTTACTTCTATAAACAGCAGTCAACATTTCGCTCAGTTATGAAACGATTTGCTAAAGATTATCAATAACCTTAGTAGCTAAAAATTCATTTTTAATGAACAAGAATAATGTAATTTTAACTTTTAGATTACTTATTATTGTTATCTACGGCTGCTGATACGATCAATACCGTACATAAGAATAAAAACAAACACGGGTAAAGCAGAATATTTGTTTAACAAAGTGACTATTGTATCATATGGTTATTACTTTGAAATTAAGTGACCTCATTTCCATTTGATATCCCAATAGATTTGCTTTCTTGCACCCTTTGATTTTCAGTGATTCATTGTACGATGTTGGACTGTAATAACAATCAGGTTTTTTATCATATACCTTTATCATTGAAGTATATCACATCTCATGAGATTAATTTGTGACTAAGTTACAAATCAACTATTCAAGGTCATTTACAGTAATACGTTTGAAGTAATGTAATTATTATAATCTCAGGCATTGTATCATAATTAAGTTGAAAATTAAAAAAACACTTAGTATTGTTACCGATTTCTAGAAACTGAGTCAACTGAGTAGATATTGGCAGCAAAAATGGTTTTCGTGTAAAATGATTTTTACAAATAAGATAAATCTTGTGAGTATTCTTAGTTCTATAAACTCTTTTGGCTTCGATAATAAAGTGTATTGGTTGTACTTTCCAGGGATCTCATGATGATTACATCTTACACTTTGAACAAGACATTGTTAAAAAAGACTCTAAACGAACAATCTCAAAAAATTCTTTTCAAGGATCTCTTTTATTATGTCTTCTGTTCGTTTTAAAAATGTTTATCTGTATTAAGTCAAGATTATTAATATTCAATAAATTTCCGAGACATTATATTACATATGGATTTGGAGGACAAATCCAAATCATGAGTCCAAGGAACACCCTAACAATTTTATTCTTCTTATTGTAACCACCGTTCACTTTGCTTATTATCAATAGGAGGTAAACTGTTGAAAAAACTACTAACTAAATCTTCAAGAACTTGAAATTTTTACTAAACATTTCATAATCAAACGATGGAAATGATTATAAAATCATACTGAAAATGTGATATACTGAGTATGTTCTGAAGCATTTTTTTGAAAATAGGCTATTAACGAAGTTCAATCCTTGTTTTACTCAAACACTTAATATTTTATACTTATATAATACTGGTTATTTAAAATTTGAATTCATGAGTCAACTGGAGCTAGACCACCATGGAAAACCTGAAAGCACTGAATGGCTGTTTCGTCCTAGTATGGTACTCCTCAGCAGTGCGTGTCCACGATCCCGCCTCGTGACATTCGAACTGCTGAGGAGTCCTATACTACGACGAAACGGTCGTCCAGTGCTTCCAGGTTTTCCACGGTGTTCTAGCTTTAATTGACTCATGATCTCAACTATTAAACTTCATTTTGTTGAGATTTAGTTTGGTAGAAATTTATTCATCTTATGGAAATACAAGTATTATATGTTTTAAATTGTATTTAGGATTACTGCTGCATTCAACTCTAATTTAATTATAACCAGATTTACCTTCAACCACAATATGTGGTAAAAATTGTTCATTATTATTTGATGAATTCAACTCTACAGGCCAATTCAATTGTTTTGCTAAAGTTAAAAATATCGGTGGAAATTGAATAGAAAGTAAAATATGTGAATTTAAAAGTGTAAGGGCTTGTGAATGTGTATTTTGATAATAAGGTTTAGACAATGTGTATTTATCGAATGATTGTAAATGAACAGAACTGTTAGTATAATCAATTGGATGTTTTCTTATTAAACATTCAATTAAATCTCCATCATGTGATATATTTATAGGAAGTTCCAAATGGCTATTTAAGATGTGATGTTTGCCTGACTCACTTATCGTTTCTTCCATTTTACTACCTAAAAACAAAATAATTGATGAAAAATGTAGTAACTATATCAAAAATATGATGCAAAATATGTGTATACACAAAGATTACATGATAAACTGACTTCAACTGAACAACCATTGAAAACGAAGGGATGCTGAACAGCTAGTAGTCCAGCGTTTAGAACCTCTCAGCTGTGCTTAATTTAAAGCCTTCAAAAGGGGAACCATGGAGTTATGATTTCTCATTATGAGGGTTAATTTTTGAGTTCTGAGTCAGAAACTAATTGTCCGCATTTCTCTCTCTGTTCAATGACTTCCACTTCAAAATAGTCATTGATTGTCATCAAAGATGATTTGCTCACAGTAAACATAGTAATCACCTTTCCTTCTAGAGTCGCGGAAGTTCTTGTCAAACCATTCAGAAATGATTGTTGTGAAGATTATTGTATTTTAACATAGTAATACTACCATATTCTAGCCAATAAATGATAGAAAACTAAGAAGGATTGGTGGATAGTGGCTAGCAGTGGTATACAGGACGCGTGTTTCGTCCTATTTGGGACTCGTCAGCTGGGTGTACCTGCATCTCAGAGAGTTGATGTTCACCATGGGACTCGAACCCAGTACCATTCACTTCAAACGCCATCGCGTTATCCGCTCAGTTACTGAGTCCTGATAGCCACTCAGTAGCTCAATGGATAACGCGATGGCGTTTGAAGTGAATGGTACTGGGTTCGAGTCCCATGGTGAACATCAACTCTCTGAGATGCAGGTACACCCAGCTGACGAGTCCCAAATAGGACGAAACACGCGTCCTGGATTCCACTGCTAGCCACTATCCATCATTGCTTACAAATAGCTTGTGAATTCAGGCAATATCAATGCATACGCACACTATGCACATATGCCAATCACAGACTGATCAATCGCAGTGTTAAACCTCAGTGGGAAGATACAAGCCAAAAAATACCAAGTGTAAGAAGGATTGGTTTCTTGCATTTCCGATCAGAGAATAATCTCTGGTAAAGTTTTGAGCGCAAACTGTCAAAGAGTCCGAAACAAAGATAAAAAAGCGTGCAGCGCAGCTTGTTTCTAACTGATTAGCAGACAATATCATTATTTGATGAAAAATAGCTTTTAATGTGAAATGATTGATTCTCAGTGATCAGAATACAATTCGTTCTTCGAATCTTGTTTTACGATCAACTAAATTATTTTGGAAAATATCCGTTTTAATAACATTGATATTAATTAGATTGTAATTAAAATAATAGTTACCTGTTAAGTGAATATTCTGACAGCTTTTAAAAAATGCATCATATGGATCATTTTGTGATTTCATATCGTTGATTGTATCGTTAATTCCTCTCATAATTGATGCAAATTGAACAGGTGAACAATGATGAAGTTGCCATTCTAGTTCAGGTTTTGGATTTGACATTTCAACTTGACACATTAGTTTAAGTGCATGACCAGCTTTTGCTTGGACTATTGGAATATGTTCAACATTGTATTTTGATTTATAATAACTTAAAATAGTTTGAAGTTCATCACGTAATTTTGATCGTGCTATCATTTGTCCAGTTCCACTTATGACACTAATATTTAAAACTGTTGCTGAATAGGATACACCAATTTCTACTGGTAAACTGAATTGTGCATCCGAATATCCGTAACCAGGATTCACAGTTCCACATCTAAATAAAATTGAATTAACGTTAAAACATCTATTGCAAGTCTGAAAAGTAAATCCTGTGATTCTAAATAAATCTATATTCTACCCATTTTAATGACAAAATGTCACTTCCATCGATGAAAAAGGTGTCATAATAATATTTCGAAACTCCTACATCATTGACCTCTATTTATACGATATATAAGACACATAGTTTGGATATAATGGAATCCATATTTAAAGTCTATCGGTGTTGTATAATGTCTAACGATAGGTAATACGAAGGGTGTCATCGATAGTTTTGGTTACACTGACGAAATTTTTAATTATCATATTGAATACAAAGAAATTCGATTTTAAACCAACCCTTAAAAAAGTATTTTGTGTAACGAGGCTTTATTACGTCATCTAGAACAGCTTTCTTATCGTTATAATAAACTGCTCAAGTTCTTAGGTCATTCAGAAGTTTGGAATCATATTCGATACTTGCAATTTTTTCATGGTCACTTTATATCATTGCTCTGAAAGTTGCTATTTTAGATTTGCTGTAATTAGTTATTTAGATGTGATGGTCATATGATATAATCATGTGCTTCTATAAGAGACCTATAGTATATTGACATGCTCAAGAAGAAATATTACAATATATAACATATTTTTCTTGTTTCCTGTCAACTGAATAAAGAGGTTTAACTGAATTCATACAGATGATCTACAAGACAAATATATTGAAATGTATCATCTAATAATATAAATCATCGGATCAGAAACTTTGAAAAGACTGACTGCTTCGGAAACTTGAAGATTTTAAGAAAAATTATGTACAATCACTGTTACAAAAAGATGTTTTATTATCCTCCTTCTCTAATCTGTAAAATTAGATTGGATATAAACCTAGAATTAGCCACAATATCATTAGATATTTTGTTTAAATCTTTTTATTGTAAAGCAATGTTGAATAAAACAGTTATTAGATCGAATCACATTTAATGAAAAACAAATTAGTTTATCCTTCAATTACAATCGACTATTTACTACATATTCAGAGGGGTCTCGCGCGCGAACCCGATAGGTCCTGGGTTTGAATCTCGTGAGGTTGGATTGTGGATGTGCACTGCTGAGGAGTCCCATAACAGGAAGAAACAGTTGTTTAGTGCTTCCAGGTTTTCTATGGTGGTCTAGCTCCAATCAAATTATGAATTTAGTTAATAAATTAATACATATTCCTTAAACAACTTCATTGTAAGAATCCAATATTGAATTCTTTTCCATGTGATTTCCACATTATCATTCACCACATAACACATTTATCTCTTTTATAATTCCTTTTTGATTAAAGTACAAAATATATTTTATCTGAAAATAATTATCTCAATATAGTAATCTGATATTTCTAAATAATCATTCTCTAATAACAATGTATCTGTAAGTTACTCTTATTGATATATCATTATTAATATGATTGTTTCAAATGACATGGTATAATGGTATAATGGTGGCAATTATTCTTCTTAATGTAACATTGTCACTTCATCTTATACTATTATAATTAGTCTGTCGGGATTATGCCTAAACATATTAGTAGTATTAGTAACAACATAATAAAAAAATAATATAGATAAAATAATATAATAACAATAGTTATGAAAAAATTATGATAATGATAATGAAGAAACAACTCCAACTTTGATAGAATAAAGAATAATGCATATCACTGTCATTAGTATAATTACAGAATTGAGATAATAAAAGGGACGAAACAATCATTTATCATTCAATTGAATAAGTATAACTAGATACATGATTATAAAAGAATAGTAATCTCTATAATCAATAGTTTACGTAAGAAATCAAACTTATATTTGAATATTCACATGTTTGTAACCATTATTTACTATAGAAGACGAAAAACTTCGAAGTGTGTTTGAAATAAAGCAAATGTTTAAGATCTATCGTTTGTGATGATTTGATAATATGAATTAATAAACTACTTTTAATTTTTGTATGAAGGTAATGTTGAAGAGATCTGGAATATTCCTTGAAAAAGTTAAGTGGGGCCTTGAAAACGCTAGGAAACATTTTGTTTACTAAGCGTTGAATAGACGTTTCTCAGAGATGTTTAGAAAGTGAAGAGTCAGAAGTTACATTTCTGATTGGATTATTTCATATCCTGCTACTATTTTTGTTCGCGTCATAGAACCCTTCAAAAGCTCAAGGTTATTTGAAATGCTATAAATACTCCAAAGTTTCTGTACATGAACTAACCTTGGAATAAAGCGTTGTTTCCATATTTCGCGCCTTTTCTCTCGTGTTCAAGTTGTTGTGTAGAGTGAACCTGAGGTTATTAGAAGAGTTTAGGAAACCGATTCAAGAGTTCAGTTAGAAGATTTATTAGGTTACTGATACTACGTGAGTGATTAAATGGATGTTAAGAGGGGATGAAGTAGTCATTATCGTATATTAATTATTTTAATAGCTCCAGTAAGAATTTCTACAAAGCGACTTCAAAACTATCAATGTATCGTCTAGAGTGTATTTAAATTACTTTCAGTATAAGTAAAAGTTTTTGATTAGTCTTCATTTATAATTCCATACTGGACTTATTAGATAATTTCATTCACAGCATTTTTTTTGATTGAATAATGTTTCTTTATCATCATGGTGAAATTTCTAGAGTTGTTTAATTGTTCATTGCTTCAATAAGGAACACACACTTAGTATCTAACATAACAAATCATTACTCACCTAAAAATTGCTCCATCATATGATTTTGTCAGATTAATATTTAATATTGAATAAATCATTCCATCAGGATATTTGTTCGATTGATTTTGTTGAATAATATTTGACTCATCAATTAATTCACTTTCATTGGTACCTTTTAATACTGAAGGAATAATAAAAACATAAACAATATAAATTCAGAAAGTTAAAGTAAGTCAAGTTGTTTCATTAGAGACAGAACGACAGTTAATCTATTTTAACTATCTTAGAATTATCTACAGCAAGCGGTAAGTACAACTGAATGTTTACTAACAAATATGTTTACTAACTTATCGGTCACACCTATTGTTTATGATAAACAAATGAAATAAACATAAAACAATTGATGACTGTTGATTAATCAGTGTTAGTCACAAAGAAAGCCAAAATAAAATTCACTTATGTGAGAAGTGTTCCTTAGTATTGTATAGATGTGGCCAATGACTAAAATCAGTGATTCCAGGTAACCGTTTTTAACTAGCTGGTTAAAAAATAACGAACTGCTGTGAAGCGTGAAGCTTCTCGATTTTACCTATAGTGGAGTTCATATAAAATGGTGAGGAACTGCATACTAAAATTAGATAGTTGTCGAATGCCTCCTGTTTGTCAATGTTGTCTAGTTGAGGTTAGTCCGTGATTTAAAATATCGTTGAATTATAAAATTCTTGGACATCTATTCGTGATTATCTGCTTAACTGTTTGATTTAGGCTCAAAGGTATATTACGCTTATCTATTAAGAGTAATTAGAAGACAAACTTTATTATTTGACAAATTGTTTAGTCATTGGTTTTCACTACATCAGTATATTAGTTACCGTAAGATGGTTAATTCAACACTTATTAATAATATCGTACCTTGAAATTCCTAGGTATCTTGTTTTACGATAAACAACCACAGCTTTAAAATTGTAATACACTTTTTTTCAAAGATTTGATGAATCATTTACACAGAAATATTGCAATTGTTGTAAATATTACTGAACGCCTAGTATAAAACTGATGTAATTAAAATGATAGGAATGAAGTAATGAAAGGAACACGTGAATTATAACTTGTCAGATGTAACTGTTATTAAAACAGCAGGATGTCAATCTAGTAGGATAGAAAGGTTTCAACAGGATTTAAAGCTTTTCATTACTTACATGTAATGGATATAGTAGGCCGTAAAAGGTCTTTGTTGATGTACAAATCATCACTAAGTCAGGTGTAGATTTAGGGTTTTATGAACGTAGTAATAAATAGTTGAATCATGAGATGCATTTTCAAATATCAAGAAATAGACAACCAAAAATCAAACGACAACTCTAACTTATTAGCAGACCTAAATTTTGAACGCGTTCATGGATTAAATATTCCCATTAGTCTTACCTTGAGTCCAAACTAGTTTTCCCGGAGGATTTCCTTGTTCTCCTGTGCAGTGAAGTGTTAGTATAGTGCCATCTGCCAATAATGTGCCTTCCTTATATCCCGTAATTGTCGGAATGCGAGGGATGGCTAAAAAAAGAAACAAGTTTTAAGGAATAATAACAACAAAATTAGCTTTTTGAAAACGCATTCCATGATTCAGTCACCATATTTCCATGACAAACTTATCTATATACTGTAGCCAGTTTGGATTGCGTCATAAACAACGTTACTTGCTTGTGAAAAATTATCATTCAACTCAAGGCCTAATTTAGTCACGACAGAGTTGTCCACTTGTGAGCTTGAACAGTCTTATCAAGATACAATAACCGCAAAATCATATATACTGTCGAACTCTTTTGACAGAATACGTTTTCTAAGCTTCAACATTGTCATAATGTAATAATAGTAATGAAGTATCAATTAAAGTAGCCACGAAAAACATCACCACAACGAAATGTGTGATACATTGTCTTCGTAAATAAGTGCATCAATAATAAATATTCAAAAAATGTTTTGAATCCATTTTCGACTAGCTGTTTAAACTGCAATGTCTCTAGCCTCTCCTTTAGGTGAGGGACAAACTTCAATTTTTTCTCAATTTTGACCCTACACATAACAGACAAACAAAAAGAAGTAATAATTATTGTTTACATCATCACAATCCATCATGAAAGACGTGTTTCCTTTTCTGCCGTTTTTCTGGCTCTCATGAAAAATGCAGAGTTTCGTATGACGAAAATAACACTCCATCATGCTACGTGTCAAATGTGGCACACTCAATCGTGATAAAAAACTAACATAGCAAACGTCATACCTCCGAATAATTCTACAACATAAATTATTCTAAATTATCTACAATTGAGTGGCTAAATGAATGAAAACGTAACAGTAATTACTGACTGCTCTGCATCTAGATTACATGACAACGTACAGTTTATCTTCAAATATGATTCGGTTATATAAATTAGAAATGGTGTATTTCACGCCAAATATATATTTAAATACCTAAGAAATTTGTAACTATCAAGGCTCGAAGGCTACAACAGAAATTATACTGTATGCACATGCTAATTACATATTACGAAATGCTCTGTAAGATATCGAATTATAATAACTAAGGTGAATTCATGTGACTGTAATGCAAAATAGAAATGAAAACGTCGTCTGGATTATCTGGATAATACTAATAATAAGATCATTTAAATGTCCATAGGTAGAAGGGAGAGAATAGACAAACTAACAGTTTATAATATGCAACTGGAAAAAAATGAAATTTGATGGCATTACATATTTATCGTATGAAGATAAAACTATTTCAAATAATTTTCAACTTAAGTATCTCTTATTTTCAGTCAGAATAATTGACAAGTGTAGAATATACTCGAAAAAAGTAATGGCTTTTAATTCTACCATTATTTCTCACTTTAAAAAAAAAGCAATACCTACTATACATTTCCAGATTGACCTTGTTCGATATAATTTTTTTATTTTCTTCTCTGAAATAACTTGGTAAAGCACTGCATTCTATTTCTGTCCACATTAAAGCATTTCGTTTTTGATTTGTTGTAACCAGTTGTATAATTGATGCCTGAATTATATTAAAATTATTTAATGCATCAGGTTCATTACGTGGAAATGATTCGACTGGAGTAATAACTTCCCAATTTTCACTGTTATGTAATTTACCCCGCCATTTAATCTCAACCTGTCCATAATACTCATCAGTAACACATGATAAATACTGTGGTCTGTCTAAATAAACATACAATTTTTGTATATTTACAGTAGTCACTGTGCTTTTATTATCTGCTCTCTCTAATTTATCATAAACATTTACTTTTTGTTTCAGTTCAGTTATTCTTTCATAAGGACCATGTATATTGACATGCTGCGGACCATCTGAAATTTAAATGTAAAGTACTTACGATTTTTTCATTTTCATAAAGATATTATTAGAGATGATAATTAACAGAAAAAACGATAGGATTCTTTACCAAACTGGAACATATTGGCATTTGAAACGCTGTCACAAAACAAATGCAACTTATAATTCGCAACCGTTAATCAATGAATAATCCGAAGATCAACTATTGATTTTAAACACTTGTCTATTGAAACTTCTTGTTATTTTAATTCTATTATCTTATTTTTAAAAAAACTACAGTAACATTCAGAATGTCAACTTGTCATGTTTCTTGTGATTTCATCTTTCCAAATAGATACAATATAACTCATCATTGCATAGTTGTTATTATTATTTAGATCAATATTATAATCGAACAGACTTCGGAAGATCTACATCAACGAATTTCCGCAATCCTACCAGTAAATTCTGTTCGGCTATTTATTATTGAAATAAATTTTTTCTTAAATTGTTCCTGAGAAATACACTTCACTTTATTGTACGTTATCCATGCAAAGTTTATGATAGATACATAAAATACTTAAAAGAATGTCATTTAGCCGCATCAAATTAAGTTTGATAAGAAACTGATTGAATTACAGTCTACATACATTTTTTATGGTGGAGTTTTGTTCTCTGAGCTGGGTGGTTTGGTCGTGGAGGTTTCATCGTTCTTCTGAACGATGAAGAAATTCGAACACTTCACTTCTATCTGAAGTTTGTGCTGATGATGTCGTTCAGAAGAACGATGGAAGCTTCAAGATCAAACCATCCAGCTCAGAAAACAAAACTTCACCAAAATCATCCACCTGAGCTACAAATCTTCTCCACCATCTAAGTCTACATACGTACTTAACTAAAATCAGGCAATATAAACCTTGGTTTGGATTATCATTATAAAAACCTGTGAATGTATGAAAAACTATCAGTTTTAGATATTTAGTTAAGAAAGTTATTCTGATCAAAAAACTATTTCCACCAGTTCTTAAATTCTTAACCAATCCATGAAACGTTTTAATCCTGTTTGTTTGTTTTTTTTTGCTTGGAAAAGTGATAAATAATTTTGGCTAGAGTGTAAAAAGAAAATAGTTATCATTTTATCCTCAGTTGAAAGTTATCCGTTTACTGGTTTATTAAACGTTCTGAATTAAAAGTGAAACAATTTAGTCAATGGTAAATTTATTGCGAAAAAAGGAATCTTTACGACTAACATGTTTATTGAAAACGTCTATAATAATAAATATAAAAACTCAATTCCTTCAATATATATTCAACAGTTGGCTTGAAAATTAATAGTTGCGCTGATTATATAAAAAAGTAAATTGTTTCAAAACTTATTAATTTTGTTACTCGATTACAGTCAGATATACAAAGGATATTGATAAGGTGTATGAATTCAGATTTTCATACTACTTCTATATTACGAAGTTTTAAACTCATTTGAACAGAGAGGAATCTAAACCTTAATATAATGTAAATACACTGGTAGTCGTAAATACCAAAATTAGAATACCACTGTTTTATACCAAACTACTGACTTATCCTAATCAAAGTTTTTTTAATTTCATTATGTTTATTTTTGTATCCGTTTTTGTTTTGTTACTAGAATTGAATATATATAATTTAATATCAGAAGGGTTTTTTTTTAGATATTATATTAATTTCAATGATTGAGATCATGAGTCAATTGAAGCTAAACCACCATGAAAAATCCGCAAGCAATAGATGGCCATTTCGTCCTATTGTGGGACTCCTTAGCAGTGCGCATCCACGCTTCCACCTCTGGAGATTCGAACCCAGGATATTTCGGTCCTGTGTGTACACATCATACAAAAAAAAGAAATTGTTAAAGTTATTAAATATACTCAAATTCATGTAGATCGCGCGCAAGCGCTTAACCTATAGACCAATGAGCCGGCATTTGAATACAATAGTCCAATTAATTCATTCTATAGCTAAGATTGTTATTGATTAATTGCCCTTGGGATTAGCCAGGGGAGGAGGAGCGATTGAAGACAATTTTTTTGTACACAATGCTCTTGTGTCTTTATCCGGATGGCTACTACTTAATCTGTTTGAAAGACATTTAGTCTGACAAGCTTTGGCAAAATATTACTGACCCTATAAATAATTGAGAAGGATCGGTTTATACTGACACTATCACTAGTTTGTACTAAATGAGTCAATATAGATCTGTCCACTTTCCTCACCAAACCTTTGCTTAGACACGCTGGGAGGTGTTCTTTTTACTCATATAGAAATAAGATAAATGTTAAAATTCATAAGAATGATCTTCGAAACATTAAAATGAACGGGAAAATAGAATATTCGATTTATACAAAAACTCTGAAAAAAGAATTGCAGGTTACTAGATATTAATTTTTTTTAAACATCATGATGTTTTATATATGAAACAGTCAAATCACTTCTGGATATATATATAAGCAACATTGTAATACATTTTCTATTGAAGTATATAAGACTATATATCCAAAACCGTACAAAATTATAAACAACATGTAATCGAGTCATTCGAACTAGATGATTGTTTATAATAGGAAATAATGTGTCTTCTAAGTAACGTATGATTTATTTCAGTGAAATAAAAGGTTTTCTTATTATATATTTAAAAGCCTAAATATTACATTCCGTTTAAATAAAATAAGGTATATTAAATATATGAAGGAAATAATTTACCATTAACATTTTAGTTACAATACTGATAACATTGACTCAGATTGGCAAAGATTTAATTTTTTATGATTGCGATCATGAATCAATTGAAACTAGGCCACCATAGAAAAACCAGAAATTTAATTAGTTTACATTTTGACTATTTTCTTTCTATTCATTGTTTGTTTATCATTATTAGTACCATAATGTTTATTTACTTGTTAAAGATAAACAAATGCATTATTCTTTAAGAAATAGTACATCATCTATCATATATATAGACATTTGTGTATATATAGACTACTTATTATGTATTTCAGTAAGGAAGAAATGATTTCGATATTGTTAGGACCCGAGTTATACACAGTAGATTAATTATTACTTGATATGATGGAAAGAAAAGTCAATTTTCGATTGAATTACTCATTATGAGTTTTATTCAATATTTCATCCGTTTTGATTCAACGTGAGGATCATTCAGTGAAGTATTTGACTGTTTTTCCAGTATGATATTTTCTTCTGTATAATATACGACATTCTTGTATTCACTTGACATGAACTATGCTCAGTAAGTGATTTTTTATAACTGAATATGTGATCTAATCTTAATTATTAATCAAAATGGGTGTACAATCAATGCATAAACCAGTGTATTTAAGACTAGATTCGACTCGTCGTTGTCATAGTGTTTGGGCTAATAAATCTTCACTTATATCAGTCTTGTGTTCTTACTTTCGCATTGTGGCAATTGCCGAGGTCCCTCGTTCCGAGTATAAGTGATCAACGGTTTTTTTTTCAGGCACAACAGATATATAAATAATAATGACATTATATTCATTGTAATGAAAATTATGATAAATGAATCTGCCAATTTATTGCACAATGGGAAATTTCTTTTCACTCTACTCATTTGATACTTCTATAATAAAGTATTTTTTCAAAAAAAATTATTATAATTCATTTTCAAAATGTTTTAACTGTTTACTGTTGCGTGACTAATGAAAGTTTAAATGTCTATATTATGAAGTTTTAACTTTAATTATTCAAACAAATTATACAAACGAATGAAATAAAGAAGGAACGAAATAAAGCAAAAAAAAATAAGATAATAACAACCAGGATACTAGACGAAGAGAAAAATAAAAGAAGAAATGTTTTGAAAGTAAAGAATGAGTATGAAACGCTTGAAACTAGGCTAAGGTGTATATTACAAAATGAAGACCATAAGAAGAAAATGAATTAAGAATAAAAATTGAGCATTGTACATTAATATGTATCAATAAGTCAATTATTTTCATTAACGTTTTCTAAGTGTAATGAAACAAACAAATATTGTTACTAGTCACAACATTTATTGACTGAATGAAGAGCTTATAAAACTATAAAACTACTAGGTCGTTCATTTCTTCTTTCTTTAAATCATTTTACGTTTGTTCCCTAATTTTTCTTTTGTTTCTCTTGTAATTATAATAATAAAGTTAGATTGGTAGTTAACTATTCTGTCTGTAATAAAATTTCAGCTAATTGAATATTATATCAGCAAAGATTTAAAGAATTCATAATGTAAAATGGATATTAACAAAATGATCTAAGGTATAGTTATCGGCGTGCTACTACCTAAGAAATAATCACTTGTTGTATAACTTAGCGGAAAAACACTATAATTATGAAAAAAATGAGAAAAATTTCACTTGTTTAAAATGTGAACAAACAATACAAAGTTTCTATTCAAAAGTAGTATGTATCATCAACTGAAAGTGAAGTGTCTGGAGGGAGAAGATCAAAGAAGAAAGAACAAGAACAAATAATGATTAGAGTGGAATCAAAAGAACAATTAATTTTGAGACGATTAATTCACAATTGCAGAATGAACAGTCAAGTTTGAAACAATTGATTTACATTTTGCAAATGAAGTATTTACTGTATGATTCTCACATTTCACTAAGATGTTCTATAATTTTGTGTTCAAGTAGATTCTGTTATTCCCACATGGGTTCTTGTTCACCACACTTCTACTTTGTAGTTTCATTTATCGTTGTATATAGACGGTCATGCATATTATTATATCATTCAGAAATGTATTTCTTTTGGTAAAAAGTCGAATATAATGCCGTTTTTTACGTAAGACAATTTATGTATGCGTATATTTCCAAACATAATTTTGTAACTGTTTGTTAATATTTTTATTGAGTTATGACAATACATGTTAATCAGTGGGAAGACGAAAGTTATCAGAATTATGTGATATATAGTCGCGCAATACATTTTGAACAATTTGATCACAAATATACTTGTTAAAAATAGTTTAATATGAAAATTAAAGGGCCAACTAGACAGGTTTAAAGTATCCGAATTGCTGTAGAAACAAATGAATTACAATGGTCAAATAAGATCACAGGACAGACAGACATCTTCCTCCATTGCGAAACATTTGGTTGAAACTTGTCATAAGGTTGATATCAAGTCAGCCTTTGTAATTTTATACTAAAGCCTTCTAGAACGTAAAATAAAGTTTATTGAAGGCTTGACTATGCGGAAACTGTAACCCCTTTTGTTGTTCAAAAACAATTTGTTCTTACACTGAAACTATCCTAGAAATACTGATTTCTTATCCAGAGTGGTTATCACATTGTTTTTGTGTACACTAATTTTCTTTGTTACAGCTTACCTATAACGTGTCTGGTTGACCTTTTATTTTACATATTAAACTATTCTTAACAAGTATATGTGTCATCAGATTGTTTGAAATGCATTGCGCAAATATATCACATAGTTCTGATACCCTTCGTCTTTTCATTGCATCATCGAAATTTACCAAAGCGATTAAGTTTTAACCAAGATTAATTTGTATTTGTAAAAAATCACAAACAACAACAACTGATTTATCGATTTTCAGTAGACCAGTTTTAAACAAAGATGTATAGTGGCTAGCAATAGAATCCAAGACGACCGTTTCGTCCCATTTGGTACTCTTTAGCCCACAGGAGACTGATCAATCGCAGTCCAAAATAACAATGGTAAGATACAAGTAAAACAACACCAAGTGAATTTAGACCAGTTTTAGTTTACTGATATTTAATAAAACAATAATGCTTCTCAAAACGTTTCTAATCCTTAAAATTAAAAGTGTTAGTTTTCCATATTAAACTTATCTAACTCAAAATAAATAGATTTGTAAAAATGTGTGGAATGTAGTCCAAAGCGTTTATGATTAAATAATATCAGTTTAAAATACATCAATATTAGAATATAATATTTTCAAGCTGCAGACATATTGTTCATCGTTGTGCAGTTTACTAGGTTTTGAATAAAATTATTAATTTCAATAGTTGAGACCATGAGTCAATTGAAGCTAGACCACCATGGAAAACCTGGAAGCACTGGACAGTCGTTTCGTCCTATTGTGGGACTCCTCAGTAGAGCGCATCCACGACCACGCCTCGCGGGATTCAGCCCGAGGACCTATCAGTCTCGCGCCAATCGCTTAACCAACTAAACCACTGAGCCGGCATTCAACAGTGTTACCTAATAAATTGTCATGATAGGTGTAAAGTACGTTTCATGTGTCCCTAGCCTTTTCATTGATATATATATATATATATATATATATATATATATGCTCACCAATACAATCTAAAAGTTTTGTAATGTATTCAGAAGCTTTCAAAATGAAATTCATTCGTTTGTTCTTAAACAATGAGATTATTTCAAATATATGTTTATGCATACCTATATAATCACTAATTTATGCAAAAGTACCTAAATTATAAATTATAATTATGGTTATCTTTAATAAAAAAAATTTTACATCTAAGTTTAATTATACTTCCTCTTTCTATAAAATTTTAACTGTTTAGAATGAGAAAGTACACTACAAACATTTAAAGTTAAACATTTACATAAATTCAATTTTAATATAGAAAATATGAATTTTTAATTTATTCAACATCCGCAGCGTAAATTACATTTATGAAAAAAAAGAAAAGAAAAAAGAAAATAACGATGATTAGATGAAGAAGAAAACCTGAGAAACGTAAAAAAACACCGAGAAAAAAAGACGAAGAAAAGATAAACGAAATAAAATGTTCCGTAGGTTTATACAAAATATCGTTAATATTTTTTTGTTAGTTTAAAGTAGTTAAATAATGTATGGTTTTTATGTTGGTGTGTATTGGCTAAGTGTTGTTGTTTTAAACAGACCAATATGTATGTATTTAATTAAATTTTGTTGTTACTAAATTGGAATTTAAAATTCATTTACTACAAACCAATGATTAGACGAGAAACTATGGATTATTATTTACCTAAATGACTGATTTATTACTATTATTATTATTTTTATTGGTTATTTATATTTAATATGACTCGTTAATAAATGTTTACATGTCAGGAATATGGCTATTAAACTCTTCAACATTTGAGCACAAGTAATTAGCCAATCAAAACAAGATGGTCGCGCAATTTTGTGGATTGGTTAAGGTTAGACATTAACACCGTTGTATACCGGCCCAATGGTCTAGAGGTTAAGCGTTTATGCACAAGACTAAAGGTTCTGGGTTCGTGGATGCACACTATTGAGAAGTGCCACATTAGGACGAAATCTTTGTCCAGTACCTCCAGATTTTTAATGGTAGTCTAACATCAATCGGTTCAATGAAAAATCAAAACAAGCATAGAGATTCAACGCAAGTAAAAAGAAATATAACTTTGGATATGGCTCGTTCGAAATTGTATGTTTGAGAGTATTAAATGTTAATATTCATTACATTATAGTAGCCTTAACGCAAAACCTGCTTAAACATATTTGAACTTATTAAGACATTGAATAAAACGACTTAGGAAATAGATTTTATTTAAGTCCATAATAACTTGCTTATACTTTGATATATATATCATTATGCTTGTAGAAAGAGACCTTTGTGACTGATTCCATTAAATACACTATCTGTTTATTTTTATACTCGCTTTAATGTTCATTAACGAAATACTTGATAACTTATTCGTTTACGTATATATGTTTTCCACTAGTTCAACCTTTTATTTTCAATATTTTAAGTGAAATATTTATTAAGCTTGTGATAAGTTGCTTTTATTTCTGACTGAAATATGATTTTGTCTGGATGTACAGATAGTGAGTGCTAATAAAAATTGGCTTGCACGGATTTCTTCGTTCAATGTTGTTCAAATGTATCATTTACCACCGTTTTCTCTTCTAAACTGTAAAACATAATTCTGAAATCAGGACCATCAAAACAATTTGAATATATTATTAAGTCATTATGAAATTTCAGTCATTTTGTTTGAGTTCTTAGCAACACACAAGATCTAATGTGTAAAATGACCGACTAGGAATTTATTGACGGTCACCAAATATTATTAGATCTTAATATAGTTTCTTTTGGTACGCTAAAGTGAATAGCATTGAGTTGGAGCACCATACTGAGAAACAAAATACCAAATGGATACCAAGCCTACTTTGGTCAGTGTATCTCAAAATGAAGTTATGCTATGAGCAGTCTAATTTGTTTTACCATTGTTACGTTATAAACTGTTGCTCGCAATCCCAATCCATGTAGATATATTTCTTCCCTTTTCTACAAAACAATCTTCACTGCATATTAATCTGTTTAGTCTTACTTAATATTCCTAGTAGTATCTCAATGTACGGGACATAACTCTTCTATGTGGATAAAGAAAGAAAAGACACGTTTCTAGAGGAGGGATAAAAATGTTCAAGATACGTAATAACAGTGCACTTCTTAGAACGAATAACAGAGTAAGATGATTGAAGGTAAAGAAGACTCATTATCGCAAATGTGATATAAGATATTACGTAGTAGGACAATAAAAAATATACGGATTACTAATGTAATAAGAGATTTACAACCGTTTCTTAGGATCCTTTTTTTCAACATTTTAATTGTAACAGTATCGGCGTAACGTAGTAAATCCGAAGTTTTTTGGGTACTGATTATGTGGACGATTTTATCATAACAATATCGTATCCACCTACCAAGCAGATGGCGGGGTATAGAAATGTTGAAAATATTTTGACATTTTGATACCATTTTTTTGATAATTGTGCTCTTCAAGGCAAACAGGAACCCCCCTTTCTGTTCTGCTGATGTAAGTACTTTGGCACAAACTTGTAAACTGGCAATTCTCTTAATTTGCATTAGATGTATGTCATGATACTTTGTTAAATATACCTAAACACCTAAAGGTATATTTTTATTACTCATTTTTATATGACCATTTAAATTAACCATTGAACGATCGTTTGGTTATTTAGAACGTACATACCATTTTCAGTTGATGCCTTTGAATGTCAAAATTGAGTTTCACACAATCTAAGACACCGGCTACTGTTATAAACTGTTTATTTATTCACTTTTGCATAGCTTGAGAGCAAATTTATTGTAAGCTACAATTCGCTTAACTGATTAGTTAATATATTTGAAATAAAATGGATTCAATTCGTAGTTATCTAGCCCGATAAGCAGTTGCCGAAACGATAATTTTGTATTTACTTAACTGAAGTTTTAAAACAAAAGTTAAATACCATGCAAAATACTATTGGATGAAGCTATACATGAAATGACTGAATAGGCAATGATATTAAAATGACATCAAAGTAGTACACAAGTTCCTGAAAGCATTTTGTTGAAACAAGCTATTAACCGATTTGTTATTTAATACATAAAAGGTGTTAGCTTACGTCGAATCCAGATTCGTTTCCTTGTTGTTTTCTCTGGGCCAACTTGATGTCGAACAGCACACACTAAATCTAAACCGTGCATTGTTGAATTAAGATTTGTAATTTTTAGTCGGCTCAAGATTTTTTCATCTGTAATTTGGTTGATTACATTTTCATTCGTAATAGAAATAACATTCTTTATTGATGGTATTTGTAAATCATTTCTAAAAACGTTTAACTGATCTAGGTTCATATTAGAATAAGGATTTTCGAAGCGCCATACAACTTGACCAGGAGGATTTCCAGGTGGAGTTACTCTACATGTAACTTCAACTGTTGAACCAACAAGTAAGCTTGTAGATTCATTTGTGAATTTATCCCAGTCAATAATTTCTGGATCACCTGGTAAAGCTAGAAATAAAGTGGTATTCAGAAATATGTAAAAGTATTAAGTTAAACCGTATAAGGTGAAAAGGAAAATAAGGCGAGACCATAATTTACGGACGAACCAATAAAGTATAAGATAACGGGTCTCGGATTTTGGCACGAAATTCACTGATCCATTTGAATAAATAAAGTTTTGGCATTATAGCTGGTATCAGTTAGTAATGTAAATTATAATTCTAATTCCACACACAGGTTCATAACCCTTATTTGGTCCTGCTTATTAGGATGACAGTCTCAAGGTCAATCTGGCGTCGCTCAAAGGTCGTCCATAAATTATAGTCTCACCGAAAATAAATGTAATTATATCAATCAAAAGTTTTTATTTCTTATTATTAGACAAAGTAACTGATGCAAGGAATACGTTTAAGTAATTATGAACTACCAATTCGCCAAAGGCTTAGCTTCTATGAATTTATCATGTTAATCTGTAATGATATAAGTTTAATTAAGGTTTTGCCTTTTTTAAATTATTTTTTACTGGGTTCTCTATGCTCATCTAATTTTGTACGATTATTTGGAAGCCATAGATCTTGAACATGGTGCATTTGAAAATAGGGACTTCCATAAAATAACTATGCCGTTAAAATGTGAATAGTCGTGACCCATTACAATTTTTGAGCTATGTATTTTCTGTTTATATAAATAAATAAGTTGTTTTACGAACAGTCGGTTTGTTACATAATTTACTTGGTGAATACTGAAATACTCAAGCAGATACACTTGATTGTTGTGTACATTTTCCTACTCATTTAATATATGATGATACAAATGTAACTATACTACAACTCATTCATGAAAAAAAGTATTGTTAGTGCTCCACTAATAGATAGAGAAATATATGTAAAATGGCGTAAACACTGTGCTGTCCGATAAACTTAAACAGTTAAATAAAAATCACTACTGTGAAATTTTATTTTATATTTTTGTTGTCCAAGTCTTTAATGGTGGAAATTCTACGATGAAATATTTTACATTTCAAACCAAGACAACTTTATTGAATGATCTGATAATAATAATAATGATAATTGGGTATGAACTGTTTAGTTGCTTCTCATAAATGCCAGAATTAATAAACAGCTATATTCAAAGAGAATTACAACAAGATTTCTAATTTCAATAGATTATTATGATTCAATTTGAATTCTCCACTTTATTTTCCACAATCTATTTCTCAATTTTCTTCTAGGTACTGGGAAATTTTCAAAGTAATAAAAGCGTAATAAATATATAATGCAATATATTTTTTCTAAAAAAGAAGGAGTATATTTTTTCATTCAGACTGATGGCAGCTTTATTATTCAGCACTATTAACTCTTTTTGTTTTTTAATTGCATAAATGTCAATCATTAGTTGATTTATTCAAAAGTAAACTATGAAAATTGCCATAGTAACAATGATAAGATAACAAGAAAGAAAAATAAAGAAAACAAGACATTCAGCAAATCTCTAAAGAAACTATTAATTAATCAAGCGGAGAATTATAATTCACGCAACACATCATACACTCACACATTCTTTTTTTTCTCCATTTTAATCCTTACAGAAACCTATTTAACTTGGAGAAAAAAATATATACACTCTGTTCCATTGTTTGTAAAATAGTTTTTTTTTCTATTTTACTGGTCAGTTTTTATTGTTCAGAATGTAACTTGGAAAAGAGAAAAAAAGAATCAAGTTTATTTTAATATTTAAAATGATTTAAAGTTTTAGTTATTTTGTAAAAAAAGGATCAGAAAAAATGTTTGTTTCCATGAATGGTTTGTTAAAAAGTGGGATATTTGAAAAGCTTTAATGGTTATAACCAAATTCATATAATGTACAATGGGAAGGCGAGGCGAGACTCTAATTTATGGACGAGCCAATCAGAGGCGTTTTCGGGATTTCAAGATTACGGCGCCAACTTCAGTGCTTAATGCTAACGTACATTCGGTTCACAGGGAATTTTGTACATAACAAATTAAACGGTGGGACTATAATATGTGGACGAATCAATCAGATATAAGATAATATATATCGGATTTCAACGCGAAAGCCTTTCATCCATTTGGCTAAATAAATTTCTGGCATTATAGCTGATGTCAGTTCGTGATGAAAACCCCATATATAATTCCTAACTAAGGCAAATTACGACAATTATTAGGAAGTGGATAATAAAAGCACCAGTAACACTGGCTACAGCCAGGTACTACAAAATATATACGGATTTTATTCATTATGTAACCAATTGTTTCTAACCCACTTTTGAACTGTTGTCACAATTAATGTTGTAGAATATTCTTTCACATTAGGTATACATTTACAATATTCAGTAAGCAATTTAAACCCATTATGTAATTATGATTTTTAAATATCACAGGTTGTAAGCAGCTGACAAGAACCAACGAAATAAAATGAATTCATGCTATTCTGCTAGAATCTTTGTTCTTCCTCTCTTCAAAATGATAAAGGGAACTATGTGTATGAAATTTTTTTATTAAATAATTTTATTTTTTAAGAAAAAAATCATTTTAAGAAGTGAATAAAACTATTGATAAAATAACATTGTAATTTAATGAATGTAAACATCTTATAGTTAGTACTTTATTAAATGTAGGAGGTAGAGATGTCTGAAACTTTGTTTTATTCATTGGTAGTAAATGATCCTTTTTAGAATTTTTGCTTCATACAATTTGTAATTTGTAAATTCACTTCATTTACTTAATAAATATTCGTAAAATTTCAATTGAAGTGTCTGAAAACTAATTCTTTTCAAGTTAACTACCTGACTTTGTTCCTTAGTAAACGGAATACACCCATTAAGACACTAAATAAGAAAGATTAGTTCAGCGAAGAGTTCTGTTTTCGGTGAATTCATTTTCAAAGCTGTACAATCACAAATATATATGCTTATTATTTCAGAATGGTAATAATAACTATATTTCATATTCTTAGCATTGCTGAGGTAGCAGCAGCCATACATCTAGGAAAACCAGAACGGTGTGTCAAAATGAGATTGGTACAATCTTTCCTTCTACCATGGTCTTAATTTCATGTAATTTTTATCTTCATACTCTTCTTCCGTTATGGACATCTGCTCCTCCTTCCATCTTCTCCTTAAATCTTCAATCCACAACGGGTTTATTTCTGTTTCTAGGATCCTCCTTATTACATTTAATCTCGAATTCAACATTTTATCTTATCATGCTGAGCCATCCTTTCCCATTGATAATTTTCCCTATCAAATTTTTATGAATACATAAGCCATTAACAATCAAATGATTATTAAACTTTCAATGCTTTATAAAGAAATTTTTTAATACCTTTGTGTATTTAACATTACTGTCACAATGTCTAATAGAAGGTTTTTATTAGTGTTATTATCATCCTGTAAACATAAGTATATATATTTGCGACTGTACAGCCTTGAAAATAAATTCACCGAAAACAGAACTCTTCGCTGAACTGATCTTTCTTATTTTGTTTCCACTAGGTTTGTACCCTGTTGTTTTCTATTTCTCTTTAGATATAAAATCATTGAGATCCTCTTTTTTGTTGTTGTTGAATTACATATTTATTTGTATTTTGTTATTTTTAAACTGAAGAGATGAATGTCAGTTTTCTATATTTAGTTGATGTATATTAAATTCATTGAAATTATTAGTTATATGACAGATGACAATCTAACCTTTACTTATATGTCATCTATCAACTAATAATTGTGACATATTGCATAATTAATCAAATTTGTCAATTCATTTTGTATAAGAATAATCACTGAGGATTCAATTGACCAAATGATTTTATCTTATAATCAGAATAATAGTTGCACAATGGTGATTAGCAAATCTTTGAAAAAAACTTTATTACGTCTACTGATAAACTAGGAAATGTTTATGAATGTTCTTTAAATATATTAGGAAAATTGTTGTTAGGGATAACAATCAGGTTTTGTGTAATATTGTACATATTAATATCTAGTTTCTACAAATTAGTATTAGCAATAAATATCAAAAATTCAAATAACTCACAGTGGATAACAATCATAACTTCAGCTCTAAGCTTTTGTTCATATAGGTGATTTGAACGCATTGTTGCTTTGTTACTGACTAGGCACACAATACGATCTCGAGTTGAAAGTTTTGTTTTATCAATTTCCAATTCAAACTGATCTTTAGTTATTTTTTGTGAATGTATTTCTTCATTGACATTCTGTAATTCATCTAAATCTCCTGATGCTGAAATAAGGTTTCCATTATGAAACCATTCAAACTTCGGTGTAGGATAACCGCCTTTCGCTTGACAAATTAATTTTAATGGATTGTTATTCATGGGATTCGTTTTATTGGAATCAAAAGCTACAATCAATTGTCCATTGGCTGATGGTTGTGGTACACCCGGTAAAGTCACAATATTGGGTATTTTCGGTTTTACTTTACAAAGAACAAATAAACCCCACTATTTAATTGAATATAATTCATTCGTATTTTAAATTATATATGTAATATACTATGCAAACACCATTGAATTTAGAATAAATTTCGTGTTCTAAATTTTAATGCTGACCCAATTGAGCAACTCATATATTAGTTAAATAAATGTTACCGTTACGTCAATACCAATAAATCCTCGATAAATTCTGTTCTTCGCTATTGACAGATGTCTTAATTATATGTAGATCTATATATATGGAAAGTAGCAACTTAGCACAAATCATTCGTCTTCGTTCAGAATGATCAGAAATATCTGAAGTAAATATGTTTGAACAGTGAAATTTTTTCAGCTATTCTTAGTACTAGATTTCAATTTGTATATATCTGCAACGAAGCTCGAGCAACCAATACGGAGCTTAAACGTTTGCTTGGGCAAATTTTGATGCAAAGAATATCAACGATATGGTGACTTTTTTGCTAAGAATTTGCTGCACATGCATTTGCAATAAATAAAACGGATATTTTAAATACGTCAAACAGTAAATGACTCTAAATAATCTGCTTTAAACAGCCATCTCTCTTTTTCTACAGCGTCAAGTACTATTGTAGTTGCAGTAACCATAGAAACTGTCGTATAAAACGTTTCACATATTGTCTTTTCTAATCAAAATAATATAAACGTAAGATACCATAAAATCGAAATGTTTCACAAGATTTAGACAATTATAAACATTTTTGATTTAATTAAGTTTAATACTAGGTTATAAATCATCAACCTAATAAAACAATACATGTTCATTAGACTGTATATTATTTTAATAAATTTTACTAAATACTGGAAACAGAAATTAGTGATGATTTTGTATTAAGCTTGAATATAGATAGTAGATAACTACCAATTTCTTTGGTAACAGATGAACGTCTACTTTACTTCAGGCAATAAATATTTTGTTCACCGTTGTAACAGTTCATTATTGATAAAAGTCGACTTCAAAATCGGTCGATAGTGACAAACTATTGAGATGACATCCGCATGAATATCGCACAAATCAAATAATCACGTCCGATTGCATTTACCAGTTTACATGTTTTTATTGACATGGTTCAATAAATAGGAGTCAAAAAGCCCAAGTTGTTGGGACACAGGCTTAAACGGTTCCATAGTTGTCCATTGTCACAAATCAACATGAGTCAGTATAGTAGACAGACAGGGTCCTCTAAAGAAAGATTATAATTTAAAGAAGTTGTGACATTGACAGCGAGATATCTGTAGACCTTTACACAGAAATTATCAGTGTAGAGGGATTGTTAGATTCGGAGAAGTATTAAGCATCAGGAATTTTAAAGCTTACTTTTACCTACAAATACAATTTATTCCAACTATGATCTACGTAAGCTATTTGGTTCCCAGAAGTGTTGCGAACACTTCTTATATTATCCGTATGATATTTTTTATTACTTTCCTGTGTTTCTCACTAAATTTTAATATGGAAAGATTACTTTTGAATAGTAAAGATCACTTAATCAAACATTTACTCTCAAGGCTTTTAATTTTCATCCTGGTTATATTTTAAAAAATGGATTTCTAACGATTACAAAAATTTTAAGCTACCCCATTGTTTTAAAATATGAATTAAAACGGTGAAAGAACTTAATATTTGATATTCACAGATTTAAATACCTAGTATAACTAATAGGGTTTGACGTCGAAGTGGATTTTGTCCAGCAACAGGTGAAACTTGACATTCATATACTCCAGCATCTTCACGACTAACATTTTGAATTAGTAAATCATGTACACCTTGACCTGAATCGCCTTGTAACGAATATCTTGGCCAATCCGGAATATTTCTTTTGTAACCTGAAACGAAAAACAAACAGTAAAAGTTTGAAAAATAAACTTATTTCTGTAATTAGGTAAGTCAAACTGTGTATTACAATTCTCGTCGACCAATAAATAACTTTCAGATACCTACATTCAAATCGAACAATTAGTAATATAAATTATTGAACAAGGTCGTATTGAAAAACATCTCACCTAAACAAGCGATCGTCAAACACGTTTCATCACTTTGTACTTTACCAATTGTGACTTAGATAGCATTCATAATGAAAATTCAGCAAACATATAAGTACAAGAATATATGAAATCGAGTGTATGATTCTTTGTTGTAAACGCGTTTTGAAATATCAGCGCCTGAATAACATTTGTAGTTTTTTACATCATTTAGACACTTAGTGCAGGCAGGTATGGATAGCAGCTAGTAAAGGGATCAAGGACGAGAGGTTCTTCATATTTGAGACTCGTCAGCTGGTTGTTTCATCATTCGAGTTGATGTTCACTCAAGTATTGGAACCCCATTCCCTTCGCTTCAAACACCATCGCGTTGGCTATTTAGCTACTGAGTCTAGATTCAAACAACCAATACAATACGTATTAGGTACTCCATTCTATTTGTATAAACTAAGTTTTAGCTGAAATAACCAAGTATCTGAGAATGTTTACTTCCATAATACATCGTCAGCAAGCAAAAACAATTGAATAATGGGTTTGGAATATAATATTGAAAGTTAAATACAAATGAATGATGAGTAATAAAAAACTAAGTCATCTGTTGAAACATTCCACCTGCTAACTTACTCCTGTTACCGCTTCGTCGAGGAGTATAGACCAACCATCATCATTATTCATCCAACTTTGTCCTGGAAGATCCTTTCCACTCGTTTCTAGTTGCTTTTGACTCTTTTGATGTCTGCTTCTTATTTCAAAAACAATGACTTCCTTAGTCTTCCTCTTTTCCTCTTCCATTCAGTATACCGATTTCAGGCTTGCCTCATGATGCAGTTTGCTGATTGCCACAATGTATTTTCCATCCACCTCCAGCGTCTTTCCTGACTTTGATGTTGGTCGACAGTTGTTTTGAGTTCCATATATTCTTCATCTATGAGAAGACTGTTATTGTTTTGCCAATCCCTGGTTTTACGTCTGCATCGGATCCTCCTTAATCATCGATAATGCTGTCTAGTTAGGTAAGTGAAAGTTTCCACCTATTCCAGAGTTTCTCCATCAGGTGTGATTGGGTTGGTGTTTTCCATGTTGTAATTCGGGATCTTGTCTTTTCTTTGTGTATGGTGAGGCCTACTTATTCAGAGGTTGCTGTTACACTGGTTGTCGTCATTTATATTTGTTGATGTGTATAGAATAGAAGAACTAGATCTTCTGCGAAATCCAAATCATGTAGTTTCATCCAATCTGTTCATTTTATTCCGTGATTCCCCTTACATGTGTAGGTCAACCACCAGAAAAAAAAGAAAGGAGGGGAGTAAGCAGATTTATCTGACTCCGGTCCTCACATGGAATGCATCTGTCAGTTGTCCTCTATGCACAACTTCGCAGTGTAGTCCGTCCTATGAATTAAAGATGATTTTGGCGATATTCTCATGTATACCGGGGTATCGAATAAGATTTTATTTATCCTCGCGATCAAATGCTTTCTCATAGTCGATATGAAATATTCTAAGTAATATATATATATATAGTCACGTGGATATACTACTTAAGAAAACATTTATTTCACGAGACACAATGATTCTTTTGTTTAATTTTGTTTAACTTTTTTCCACTTAACCACTATTAAATTAGAGTTTTTGGCTCACTAATGTTAATAAATATCTGTGAAAACATTTCCTAAAAATAGTATTATTTGTCTCTTGCATGATAATAGATTTATGTTCCAACAAATAACGGAAATAGATATTCAATATTCAATAATAGTAAGAATCGGAATTTTATTTAGATTGTAAAACTATGTGAAAGTAATTTAATAAATGGTGAAACGATATCTGTAAGAGACTAAATAATAAATTCTAGTCTTGGAATAAACAATTTAAATAGTAAATGAATTCAGTAATTAGCATCCCAAATATTTATGATAAAAAAGACTTATTAAACGTTTTTGCTCCTGTGGAAGATACACTTTGATGGTTTTTTGTAAAAAATGTTGAACAATGATACTCTTTCATTAGAAAACCAAACATGTCTTCAGTTAAATAATACTACGTGCACTAGGATGAAATAGTCTTGAGATCTTTAACTTATCGGTTTAATTCAGCTTATATAGGCTCATACGTAATATTCAGTTCTTTTATATCTTCAAGTGAAGTCGATACGTTCATTACTAATAGTTTGATTGGGAATTAACCACAAAACAAAAATGAATTTTTTTTAAACGGTGTTTGTGTAATCAAAACAAGATGGACTGATTTACGTACTGATTTTAATCTGAAGTAAATTATCAAAATACAACATAGATGAAGAAGGCATTAAACCTTATATGTCAGCATACCTTATTCTTTGGTTTGTGACATGAGACTATACCGGATAATTGACTAATTTTAGGCAAAATTACATTGGATTTTAGTTATAAGAACGAAAAGTAGATTATATTGAGAGATGACAATTTTGTTCAGTTGATTTAATTTTTTAATAGGTCTTGGGTTCGAGTCTTGCGGGGCGGGATCGTGGATGCGCATTGCTGAGGAGTCCCATACTGAGACGAAACAGCCATCCAGTGCTTGCAGGTTTTCCATGATGGTCTAGCTTCAATTGAATTATGATTTCAACTATCAGAATAATTATTTATCATCTCTAAATAGTGTATTGTTTATCTTAGCTAAAATTTATTCTAATAAAAGATCTGTTTATCTAAAATGGTCTTATTAATAATCATTGTATCAAAATAAATAAATAGTAGATACAGTACATATTCTTAATAACATATAGAAATAAACAAATAAATTTATCAAAAGAGAAAAAATTCACTGAACCAAACCTATTTGAAAATGTTTTCAACCTTTCTAATACATGTAAATAGGGTTAGTAAAAGTTATATATGAATATATATTTTCCATATTTAAACAACGGTAATCAAATCATTTTAATGAAATAGAAAGTTGCTCATAGAAATGTAAACTAATAAGAGATTGATCAATTACAGTTCTAAACATTAATGAGAAGATTCAAGTAAACAATACCAAGTGAATCACGTATATTGTTTTAACTCATAATAAATAACTGTCTCAGGTTGAAATCATGAGTCAATTGAAGCTAGACCACCACTGAAAAACTGGAAGCACTGAACGGCCGTTTCGTCCTGTTCTGGGACTCCTCAGCAGTGCGTATCCACGATCTCACACCCCGCGGGATTCGAACCCAGGACTGCTGAGGAGTACAATACTAGGACGAAACGGCCGTCTAGTGCTTCCAGGTTTTACATGGTGGTCTAGCTTCAATTGGCCGATGATTTCAACCTGTGAAATTTTTAAAAATTTCCACAAAACCCATTCTGAAAATAACTGTCTGTAAAACAAATAATCAAAGCATTTTCAAGTATTTGTATGAATTTTATAAATAAATAAATAAAAATACATAATATGTTATAGTTTGAACCGCTTTCATTTATTGTTATTCATATATAATACATATACAATACACTGAAACCATGAGCAATGATTTGTGCATAATCTTTTGAATTATGCTGTATTTTTCATACATATGAAATCAAAAACTATCTTATTAAAATCAACTGTTATTAATTAGTGATAAACAGTTCTTAAAAAGAAATATAATATGAGTCAATTTGTTTAAAGATTTCTTTATCCAAGGTGGAATAAATATAAAAAACCTCTTATAGTAAACGGAAACATTGGCGAGAATAGTCAAATTATTGTTAAAGGTGAAATTACAAAGTGGCTTGCACATTGTTCTTCATTTGTCCTTTATATGCTTTATGGTTCTTTCAAATTCTCTGATTACCTTTCTGTTCTTCCAAAATCCAATTTTTCTCAACTTTCTACGCTCAGTAGCTCCACTACATACAACTTATATTTATCAACAGAGTTAACAGACACCATGCTATGCTTTTCTATAATGGTCTTTACAAACAATGTGTTAATACATTTCAATTGTAAATCCTATTTCTTGAAATAAAGTACGCATTTTCATTCATTGTTATTGGATAAAATATGACAGTACGCTTTGTATCTTTATATTTCTCGAAATAGGTTTATCCACATATAAAATCTATTTAGATAAGATTGTTATTCATAAAATAATTAATGAATTAAATTGACTGATTGACCCAAATGACAATGTCATTGAATAACTGAATTGTAGTACATAGAAAGTGACCACATATATATACCAAGAAATAGTTCAAGAAAGTAAATATGTAGTAAACGAGAACACAAATGAGAACAATCTAAAGGATTTGTATACAAAATTATAGAACATCTTAGTAAAATGTGAGAATCATACAGTAAATACTTCATTTGCAAAATTTTAATCAGTTGCCTGAAACATGACTGTTCCGTTTTCAAATATCAATCAATCGTCTCAGAATTCATTTTTCTTTTGTTTCCATATCAATCATTCTTTGTTTTCGCTCTATTTTCTTTGATCTTCTTAACCTTCTGCCTCTAGGCATTTCACTTTCGATTGACGATACATACTGCTTATATCTGTCGACATCAGTAGCATATACTACAAGTATAATTCTTTAGTAAATTCTAAATGATTACCAAATACTTAATGCTAATTAAATACTCATCAGATAGTTTACTAAAATGGTCTTCATCATAGTCAATTTTCGAATTTTTTTATTCTATGGAAATTTTGTCTTACATATCGATATCATATGCTCAAAAATGCCCTTTTTTATCCAGTTACAGGCATTCAATCCAGCTTCATAAGGGAAAAGTCAAACTAGCAAACAATGAGATGAATCTAAATATATTCCAGATTTTCTTTAAAAACATAAAAAAGGTGCTGAAACATGACAATCCAAGTACTTTCTACCTTAT